AAAAAACATAATAAGAACTACCAGATCTGGCAAAGAGTGGATAGCATGATATTGATGCGCAAGAGGGTGGATTGCTTTTGTTTTTCTACAACCTTTAGCGCTCATTGGTCAAAGCACCAACCTGGAAGCATTTGATTGGCTAGTTTGTTACTGTAAAGTAGTGGGATCTAATTTATGTTTCCAAAGGCCAATTTCCTGCGTTTTTTTGTAGATATTTTTTTTCCTCTAGTTCAACACACAAAAATCATATGAATAAAACTTGACGACATGTTAAGGATGTGATTAATCCTTGATGTACCCGTTTCAGAGCAGAAAGACATCTGAAACATACAGGACATTAGCTCTTATGGACTGGAGAGGGATCGCCCCTCCTCCAGAAGTTTTTTTTCAAATACTTCGAGGTAGTTATTTCTATTTTATACAAGGCTAATTATTTTCAAGCATGTCCCCTAAGGAGGCCTCCCCGAGGTTGCTCCCCGATAGATTGTGGTAGTTCCAGGGTATTTAAATCCATCTGCTTTTGTCATAGCATTGAGGAATATGCTGACAATGGGGGAAAAACTTGTAACACTGCGTAAACCAGTAGGAGGAGAATTTATCTTGCAGTCGGAAGATTTTGGCTCAGTTCTTGTTTCATCCGTCCTGTGGGGATGTAGCCTTGGGCACTTAACTCAAGCAGCCTATCAATCTGCAGGTTGTGTGTATGTTTGTGTGTGTCTGGCTCTAGTTTTAAAGCACTTTGAGTGTTCAGTATGACTTGATAATCTATTTATGCAGAGAGAATCCATTTGTGTGGAAGAGTTATTTTACGAGTAGGTCTCCCTTTCATAGCAGTTTGATATCTGAAAAGACTCATAAACTGTTTTACACACATTCAGAGCAAATAAATGGTTTAATGAATTTGGGGGACAGATTTACTTTAACAAATTTGTTTTCAATTATTTTGCACAACTAACATGTGGAATAATTCCTTCTAGATGCCGCCCAAGTCAGTTTCGATGGTAACACAGCTCACAAGTTCCTCCGCTTAACTGAGGAGAATAAAAAGGTGACCAACACCACACCCTGGCAGCATCCTTATCCTGATGTTCCCGAGCGCTTTGAGAACTGCCGCCAGGTCCTGGCTGCTGAAAGCTTCTACGTGGGTCGTCACTACTTTGAGGCCGACCTCACAGGCGAGGGGACGCATGTCGGCCTCACGTACAAGAGCATCGATCGCAAGGGCGAGGAGAACAACAGCTGCATCACAGGAAACAACTTCTCCTGGTGTCTCCAGTGGAATGGGAGGAGCTTCTCAGCGTGGCACAACAACGATGAGACACCTCTGAACGTGGGGAAGTTCACTCGAATCGGTGTTTACGTTGACTACTCGCAAGGCCTTATTTCTTTCTATGGCGTAGACGAGACCATGCCGCTACTTCACCAGTACAAGACCCAGTTTCTAGAGCCTCTCTATCCAGCTTTCTTTCTGCCAAAGAAGGAGAATATTGTACTTCTAGTGGCCCCTGGGGAACCGTTACCTCTGAAAAGCCCCTCTCCTCCCACTTCCCCAGCAGATGGAGGCACTTCTCCACAAACATAAATAAAATGGGCTTAATAAACTGAGCTAATGATATCTGAAAGGAAAAATATGTGAAAACTTTTGAAATTTTAAACCTGATTATGTGTTTTGCAGGAAAATGATTTTGTTTCACGCATGTTTATGAATTATATTTGTGGTTTTTGGGCTTACTGTTACAGGATGTTTTCTGTTACTGTTGATATAAATATTATGCTTATCCATTTTGAATAAATTACATATTTTCTTTATAGACATCGTCTATTGTCTCAGTGTAACCTATTTATTACAAAAATGCACCATTTGTCACATCTGTTTTAAAATTAAAAATGTAACAGGTTTTATTAAAAATTACAAGAACCTATATAAAAGTATGTCAGTCTTGCGTCTGATGCCATACATTACAACCTGTCTCACTGTTATCTTGTAACCTTCCCCCTTTACTCTAACAGACAACCAACAATTTCCTCTTTTTCATGCATTAATTCTCTTTCCTACCTGTGTTCTGTCTCTGGTCATTATTTTCTCAATTGTTCCTCATTCATTCTTTAGAAATGCTCTATTTACAATACATATCAAATGTTGTTGATATTCACTTTGGATGTCTATCTTACCTTAACTGTTTACCTGCCAATCAAATAAGAAGTGCTCAGAACAGAGCCCTGATTTAAACTGGGAAAAAGTACCACATATTTAACACCTACGCGAAACCTCACTACTGTCTCAATATAATTGTGTATTTACTTAGACCTAGACAAAGTTTATTGTCATTTTGTGTACAGACTGTATATAAAATGAAATTTCAATGCGTACAGCTTTCAACAGTGAAATGAACATTACCATTTATAAAGTGCAGCAGTGGTCCGAATGTGTAGGAGTGTGTAACAGAGTAGGAGAAAAGGTAAACCAGTTTAAAGACATGGTGCAAAAAGCATTGATGTGGAAAGGTTCAGTGGAGTGGAAAACAAATACAGTGCAAAATGCAGTCTAATATTGAGTGATGTTTTATTTAAAGGGATTAGGAAAAAAGCTAAGTTGCTAGTCCAAATGTGTTTTCAAGTGTGATGCAGAGTCCAGATTAGAGTTTCAACAGCTGCAGCACTGAATGCTGCAAAGCCTCTTCCCAGAGGGCAGCAGGAAGAACAGTCTATGATGGGGGTGTGAGGGGTCATTGATGATGTTACTGGGTCGGGACACGCAGCGCTGGGATGAAATGTCTTTTATGGAGGAAAGAGGAGCCACGATGATCCTTTCTGCTCTTCTCACCACTCTTCTCATGTTCTTTCAGTCTGAGGCGCTACAGCTGGTCAGAACGCTCTCTATGGTGCTTCTGTAGAGGGTTGTTAGTATGGGAGGGGGCAGGTGAGCTCTCCTCATCCTCCGCAGGAAGTACATGCGCTTATTTTCCGTTTCTATTTCCTGTACCACCTGTTCTAAAATTTCTAGGGAAGGACACATTCTGTCCTTCCCTAACCTTCCGCATCAACAATCTCATGTCAAACAATCTATTAATGTTATTTAAGCACCTTCTTAGTGCGAATCACTGAAAGTTTGAGGACTTTGTTTAAGAGGAAATTCTGCTGTGTTCTCTGAGAAATATTCCTACTACAACAGACTTCCAGAACTACCAATTTTTAGGTGAACTTTGGAGCTTGTTTTAAAAAATGTATTAAAGAATAAAAATATTTAAGAAATATTATAAGAAACAAAGATAGGTGATAACTGTATCAAAGACCTGTATGTGCAAGCATGTTTTTGTGATCTAAAAGCTCCTCTGTAATGGATTGCTGTTCTGCTCACAGGGAGTCTCAGAGCTTAGGTGCAAAAATCGCAAATAAATAATCCCCCTATTGTTTTTAATCTTCTTCTGGGAAATGAATAATGATATGTTTAGCTAAGTGCAAAGCTCTGACATGATGGGGAACAACTAAAAGTTCAGTCAAGACCATGGATGGTCTTAAAAACATAAAGAAAAAAATTAGCAGGACCTTGAATTCTATTTTAAAATACAGCCTACAGAAAGCCAGGAGGAGGATGACAAAATGGGGGGCACTTTAAGGAACAATGGGAAGAAATTAGCCACCTGCATTTTGTACCAGTAGAAAGTTGTTGAAGATAGTCTGGCTGTTTCCGGTTTACAGGACATTAGTCTAGCCTTGAGAGAACAAAAGCATTAATTGATCTTTCAAGATTTGCCCAATATTGAAAAGTTTTGCTGCCATTCATTTTGATCTATATTTAAATATGTATATCATCAACATAAAAATGACGGGAGACATTTTTTAAACAGATATTAGGTCCTATTGGAAAAAAAGATGGAGAACAATACTGGTCCAAAAACTGAGCCTTGTGGTCTGCCAGAGAACAAGGGGGTAATGTGAGGTCATTATTCATTACCAAGAAATACCAGTGATGGCAATAGAAAACAACTTTTCTTCTTTTCAAATTCTATTCGAAGAGGTTTCCTAATTATTTACATGTTTGTATGTTTTGAAGTTATGGCATTCAATTCTAGCTCGCTGAATAAATAGAAGCAGCAATTAATCAGCTTACGAGAGGAGACAGCTGAAAGAAGTCTGTATAAAAAACTTCACATCTTTCAACCCAAAAGACAAAAAAAATCACAGAGTACACAAAATCCAAATTCTTTGTCCACTTAATTATTCAGTCACTCTTAGGTTTTTTCTTATGCGGCTTTTTAAGATCCTACGGAAGAGGATTAGGGCCACTGAAAAAACAAAAAAAGTTAACTGATTTTTTAATTTTATTTCAGTATAGTATAAGAAAAAAGTCATAATTCTGAGTTTAATCTCAGTATTCTGACTTTTTTCTCAGAATTCTAACTTTAAATCTTAGAATTTTAAATTTAAATCTCAGAATTCTAACTTTAAATCTTAGAATTTTAAATTTAAATCTCAGAATTCTGACTTTAATCTCAGAATTTTGGATCTTAATGTAGATGGGCACCATGAAGGAAGAGATGTGGGAGCACTCAGCTTCACTGACAAAGATGTGAGTTGTTTGGGAGGGCCAGTAACACATTGGTGAAAAATGACGAAATTATGCAACTTTTTACATGCTCGAGGAGAATTCTCAGAAAAAAGTCAGAATTCTGAGATTAAAGTCAGAATTCTGAGAAAAAGTTAGAATTCAGAGAAAAAAGTCAAAATTCTTTTTCAACTTAAATAATATTTAAAAATCAGTTAACTTTTTTTTTCATTTTTTAGTGGTGTGATCCTCCTGCAACTATAGTAAATATGGTTAACACAATGGCTTGTTATAAACTATTATATAGGACTAATCATAATGAGTCATTTTGGTAGAAAAAAAAGTTTTTTCACCGACCATTCCTTGTTTTGAAAGATTTTTTTCTACACATAGTGGTTCAAAACACATTCTGTAAATAATAAAAAATATAAAAATTATTATAAAGCCACCACACTGACGTCAGATGCGTTGGTCACGTGACCAACGTGTAACTTATTTTGACGTGTCACAGAGCATGTAACCAGGAAGAGCCTGCTAAATTCTCACCATGCTAACAGGAGTAAGTGACAAATATTCGCTTGTATTATAAAGAAAAACTAGATGGCACACAGCAAATCCTGGTTCTGTGACGTTGTGATGGAAAAAATATCAACGAAAGCCTGTTTTCCTACTAACAATGAAGGCCACCAGCTGTCGTGCTAATGTTGTTAGCATGCTAAACGTAGCAGATTAACGTTAATTTACGAAAGATGTCTTAAATTCAAAGTTATTTTCGTGTTTTCCATGAAGTCCGGGGCTTTTTTATATTCTGTTTCTGTGCCTTATAATATACTTGTAGTCTGTATTTAGTAATGGTGTCCTGATACTATAGGATCTGGGTTGTAAGGATTGCTAATGTTAGCTCCGTAAACATCTTTTATACTACACAAACCACAAAGGTCTGTTTGTTTTCAGTTTTATATGGTTCAGTGGGGGTAGGAATAATGCAGTTCAACCACCGGGTGGGACAAACAATTAGTCTGGTTAAGAAACTGACACGTCGATAAGACAGATTTGTGTATTTTAGGTGCCTTTTTTTTTGTTGAGGCAGCTCTTTGCATTAATATCCAATTACCTCCAGCTTATTTGTTCAAAACTATTCTACTTTCTGTCACCAATCTTAAGTGAATTTCAGAGATGCTGTTCTAACTTCAGCTAAATTAATTTTAAAACACTATTATATGTATGTATGTCTGCTGGAGTTTATGTAGACCCCATAAATTCATGCGTGTTGCAGAAAAGTTAGAATATTATAAAATATGTCATACCTGTGCAGTTGGTTGGACTGAATTCAATGATAAATATACGGAAGAGGATTAGGGCCACTGAAATTTTTTTTAAAATTGAAATTTTTCCCAGGATACTAATGATGAAGACGTGTCTTTGTTTGATGCCGAGGAAGATGCAGGGAAAAGGTCAAAGAAGAACATCAAGTAAGTTTAGAGTCTGGATGAGATTAACTGTCTTTGCTTGCTTGTATTTTCTGGGCAAATATCATCATTTTTATTCGGATGTATTCAGACAAATGTGTAAGAGGTCTCTGCATTTATATTTTTTTCTATTAATTTCTATTTTTTCTATTAATTTCTATTAACTTTTTATTTCTTTAATGAGACAAATGACATTAAGTACATGTAACCCTAGCTATGCTAATTCCCAAAACAGCTGATTATTCTAGTTCATTTTACAAATGGCAAAAGAAGCATAACAACAATACTGTTGTGTATTAGATGGATATGTATCTTTTTAAGAAGGAAAAATAAACTAATCATGATTAGGAAAAAGATCCTGTCATTATTAAAAATCTTGTCTTTGGAGTCATGAGCAGTCCTTAAAATACTTCATTACTGAGATGAACTTTAAAGGAGAAGTTCGGTTTTTAACACTTTTAGCCCATTTTCTGTAGTGTCCAGGATGAAATCGAATGATCGACACCAAAATTTTGACAATTGGTCCTGTCTCTGCTTTTTGGCTCATTTAGAATCCCCCCCTGGCTGCTTTAGAATGGCTTCCATAGAGCATGTCCGATAATGTCCTTAAAACAACCTTAAACGTTCTTTTTTTAAAATATGCTACTCACCGGGTCGTCAGCGCTGTTCAATGACGTTCCAAAAAAAGTTTCGTGAAGAAAAAACGTTCCTGTAGTGTTTTATTTAGCATTTTGTAAATCCCATTGAGTTCTGTTGGAATAGTCAATATTCCCCTGCCACCGGAAACGGAAATGGGGCCTGTTTACACAGTTGTAGTCTTTTCGTTTCACTCTGTGTACTCCGACGTCGAGGTGCTAACGTCTCTGTTAAACACTTTAAAAAACTCTGAAAATGGAATACGAAAGGTGGATTCTTGATTCTCGACGTCGGAGTACACAGAGTGAAGCGAAAAGACTACAACTGTGTAAACAGGCCCCATTTCCGTTTCCGGTGGCAGGGGAATATTGACTATTCCAACAGAACTCAATGGGATTTACAAAATGCTAAATAAAACACTACAGGAACGTTTTTTCTTTACGAAACTTTTTTTGGAACGTCATTGAACAGCGCTGACGACCCGGTGAGTAGCATATTTTAAAAAAAGAACGTTGTAGGTTGTTTTAAGGACATCATCGGACATGCTCTATGCTAGCCATTCTAAAGCAGCCAGGGGTGGATTCTAAATGAGCCAAAAAGCAGAGACAGGACCAATTGTCAAAATTTTGGTGTCGATCATTCGATTTCATCCTGGACACTACAGAAAATGGGCTAAAAGTGTTAAAAACTGAACTTCTCCTTTAAGCTTTGCAGAATCATCTTTAAAGCTTCATTGTGTTTTCTTCTCATTAGCTTTTAATTGTGTTTCTATTTCTTTTTCATCTTTGAAGTATATTGCCATTTTATTAAATGCATATTGCTTTGAGTTTTCTCTTCTGGTGCTTCCTTTCGTTGATTTTGTTTTTTTAGATTATACCATGTCCAGCATTTATGCGTGTCTAATGAGGGAGCAACAATCTTTAAATGGGCTTTTAAATGCAATAATGTTAGGTGTGCAGCAGACCTGAGGCTGTCTGCAGTGAACCTTTAAAATAACCATTTCCATTATTAGGATTAGAGCTGCAGGGTATTAAAAAAAACAACAAAAGAAACATTTGAGTATTTCTATTTAGAATTGCAAAGATAATCTTAGAAAACAGTTTCTGAATATTTTCCTGCATTTTTTTAGTCAGCGCTGTGGTATTTTCACCTCTATCTTTTTTACATCTAGGTAATGAAAGTCAATATCAGTTGTGAAAGTTTTTTCTGCTGGCACCAGTAAATGATTTAGTGCCCAGGGTGTGAACAGATTTAGCATTTTTAGCATTCCTTGTGGTTGTGATATTGCACACACTGACATTATAATGACGATTGCCATAATTTAAGATTTTGTGCAGATTTCACAAGATCGAGTTGGATATAGAGAGCTCAAGAGCTGCATTTTTCTTCTAGGTATTTGTTGGTCAATAGAAAATGTGTAAAAATAAAATCTCCTTCTAGTGCATGCTCTAAAATAAGCAAATGTTTGAAAAGTGCAATTCACCAAGTAATCTTTATGTTCCATCTCTGACCATACAGACTAAAACACTGGTCATATGATCCATTAACTATAACGTAAATCTATGGCAGGCATCCAGTGGCGTCCTTCTTCCACCTCTTCTTCAGAGTCGGCGCTACGCTCGTCTACCTACTCTGTGAGTTCGTCAGCGGCAGTTTCATCGCCTCCATGGTTACCATCATCTTGCTACTCTCGTGTGACTTCTGGACTGTAAAGGTGGGTATTTATTTACACACATGTGGGATTGTACTTTCTCCTGGAGCTGTTCGAAGCTTCTGTTGCTATGATCAACAAGGATAAAACAGATCTATGTTTTGGAATGAATGTCAGAAGCTGGAGTGCCACTGCGCTTCGATATTTCTTTTTTGTTGTTGTTTACTTTGCTTTAGAGCTGAAACAATTATTTGGATTAATCATGATTAACCGCTTATTTAAACAAATATGGCTGCTCAGTGTCACAGAGTATAGCACTGCTGCATTCCATCAAGAAGGTTCTGGGGTCGATTCCCGGCCTGGGGTCTTTCTGCATGGAGTTTGCATTTTCTCTCTGTGCATGTGTGGGATCTCTCTGGGGACTCCGGCTTCCTCCCACAGTCCAAAAACATGACTGTTAGGTTTATTGGCTTCTCTAAATTCTCCTTAGGTGTGTGTGTGTGTGTTTGTGTGAGAGTGAATGGTTGTTTGTCCTGTTTGTCTCTGTGTTGCCCTGCGATGGACTGGCGACCTCTCCAGGCTGGACCCCGCCTCTCGCCCACAGGTAGCTGGAGATATCCTGCTTAGGATAAGCATGACGGAAAATGGATAATCAAACAAACAATAGACCGATTAATCAGTTAGCAAAATAAACATTAGTTTCAGCCATGCTTTGCTTAGAGGCTATGATTAAACAAGACTGTGGTAAACCTTATTTTTAAATGGTCGAAACCACAGAAGACTAGCATTTAAGACATTTTAGGAAAGTTCTTTCTTTTCCTTTAAGGCTTTGTTGAATCTTGCCTTCAATTCCCAGTTCAGACTTTAATCATTTAAGTTTTTTTCCTCATGATGAGTAGATATTTTAAATCAAACAGTAGGATTAACACCGCTGTTTTATCTGCTTTTACTGTTGTAGCCATGCATGCTTGTTAACCATAGAACATAATTAAAAGCAGAAATTCTTCAAAGAAAAATTCAGTTCTCCTCATTTCTCTTGAGTTGGTCGAATTTCAACCCAAAATGTCGGCTGTGATAATTGATTTCCCATACTCCCAGTGGTAGAACTAAAAACACGGATAAGGATGAAAACCTTCAGTGTTTGTAATCTAAACTTGAAGTTAGATGAAAGATATATTAGTCGGATTATGAAGCAATGCTTAGATTCTTTGTCATAGGTGTTATATCTATTTCTAGAGTTATGTCAAGAATTTCAGCTTTAAAAGGAACACAGCAATGGAGAAGGGCATAGTTTTTCTCTCTTTCTCTGTGTTAAAATGGATGTTTGAAATGTTTTGTTTCCAGAACATCACAGGCAGGTTGATGGTGGGTCTGCGGTGGTGGAACCAGGTGGACGACGATGGACAAAGCCGTTGGGTGTTTGAGTCGCGGAAGGTAGGAGCTTCCTCTGCCTTTTCTGTTTGTTTTAATTCATGTAGTTCGCATGCTGGCCTTTGACCTCGCTGGAGCTGTATAAGTTAGATAAATGCGTCCGTTTACTGTCAGTGACCCTTATGGTATTCGCAGATGTTGTAACTGTGAGAATATCCTGTTTCCTGTAGGGTACTGGGAAGCAACAAGCATCGGATTCAGAGTCCCGAATCTTCTGGCTCGGACTGATCATTTGCCCGATCATCTGGGGCATCTTCGCCTTTAGCACACTCGTCTCATTTCGGATTAAATGGATGGTAAGAAACTTAATATTGCAGATGCAAATCTTTTAAAAGTTCATATCCACTCACTATGTACTATCATCATTGTAATATTTGTCCTTTTATAATTTATCCTTTTTTTTTTTCAAATGCTATTTGACTCTAATCCCTCTTGGATTCAAATATTCTTTTGCATTTTATCAAACTAAATCTGACTTTTCCTCGTTGTTTTCACATTTTGGTGCATTACTTCCTTGTTTACTCCCTGGGTACATTTGCAGTCTTGTAACTCCTGTTTAAAAACAAATTAAATGGGGTATAAAAATATTGCACCTAAATAAAAAAATTTGTAACGTAACTATGCCTCTTTAAGAAAGAGCCGACCAATTACATAGACTCTGCCCCTAATCAGGAAATAGTTTTTTTGGAGAAAATTTTGCTCAGAGGAGACAAAATGACAAGAACACTTAGAGGCAGAATTAGGCTCCTAATCCTAAAATAGTGACCAGTTGTTATGGCAGTCGCAGAATCATGCTTTGGGGTTGTTTCCCTGCTAAAAGGAACGATGCATCATTACTTTTTGCAGGGAAATTATGAAGACAGAATTTCTGCAGATTGCTGAGCATTACTTCAGATCTACAGCTGGATGATTGACGCAACAGGAAAACAGATTCAGACCAGAAATATCCTCAAATAGCTTTAAACTTCTGGAATGGTTCTGAGCTTTAATATTAAACCAGATTAAACCTTTTAACATCCACCTCATTTCGGGAATTTCTCACAGATTTTGCATACCCAAATGGAAAAGCAAATAAGGAAAATAGGAACTGTAAGCCCAAATTACATGTGCAATAAATAATTTAAAAGCTATAACACTCTAGTTTTTGAATAAATAAATGAAAATTGGGTGAGTAGAACACAGACCAAGCTTATCAGTTTAAACATGACTCATTAATGTTTTTTTTTATTCTTGGAAATGATAGGTCTTTTTTGAACAGCAGTAATAAAGACATGCTTGGGAAAAGTCACGTCTCATTGTATTACATTTGTTCTACATAATTTCAGACTTCTAGCTACAACAGTTCCAGAGCTGTGAGGTTTTAAACTTTTGGTGTCACCAGCATCTCCAAACCTCTCCAAATTGTGCCAAATGCTTTGCTTTACTATTTCAAACATAGAATAACACTTAAGCATTTTGATGGCCACAAAACATTTATGAAGCAAGTATTTTCCACTTTTTTGTTTTTCAGAATCACTGTATATAACAAAATGCAGAATTTTTACACCTATAATTACACAACAATCTATAAAAAATAGTAAAACTGCTGCTTTTCAAGCTAAAACAGCCCCAGTGCCTTTTCTGAGCTGTATTTTTTTCAGCCTTAGGCATTGTAATAAAACAAATTCACATCCAAACTTTAAAAAAAAGGATTATGATATACTTCTGACCTATACTTTAATGATGCGCACTTTTTCTCTCTTAATATAAGTCTTTGTGGTAGATTTTTATTTTCACTGTGAAACCCTGAGTAAGAGCTTCCTGTTTCTTTTCAGCCTGTGGTGATCATGGGATTGGTGTTGCAAGGAGCCAATCTCTATGGTTACATACGGTGTAAAGTGGGAGGAAAGACCAGCTTAAAGAACATGGCCACTAATTATTTTGGACAGCAGTTCCTGAAGCAGGTAATGTGATTTCAGTGCAAAATACAGATGATCCTGTTGTTCTGTCATTTTTCTAAAGAAGTGTCTGTATGTTTGCAATCCACAGGCGCTGTCTAAAGAAGAGGAATCATAGTTTTACAATCTGCATTCTTCCCAGTTATTGTAAAAGTGGAGTGCAGGAAAGACTTTCCACACCAAGTGAATATTGTACCTTTTATTTTTAGGTTAATTGATTCATCAGAGAGACATTTTATGCAAAGGCCACAGGTTTGGTTGCTGTTTTTCAGTAGCTGACCTTAAGCAATAAAAAGTCTTCACTAACATCTCAGCCATGAGTGATAAAAACATAAGTTAACCGGACTCTAGTTTGTGTTTTAGTCTCATCGAGCATTACGTCTTTAGTTTGTCTTCTCATTTCCTTTTAATATTTTATTGTAACTTAGCAACTTTTCAATTGGTTTGTCTTTTTTTTTTTTCTCGCACAACAGACTGTAAAATATTTCTTGTAAATATGTAAGTTAAATTATGTGGAATATCTTGTGCGCAAATACATTCTGGACTTTTTTCTGAACAGTTTGCTGTTTTCATTTATGCTTATTTATTGACAAAATAAAGACTTGCTTTCAGTTCGAGAGTGCTACATGTCAGGAGAGGGAAAATTATCTGGATATTTAAGGTTTAGAAATTAAATCTATTATTTAATGTATAAATACACTCAAGATATTCCTCCTTTTTAGGTTTGCATAGATTTCTTTCTGCTAAAGTCTTTTAAAGACTGGTTACATATTTTCTATTTAGTTGCCTTTATAGTTTTCTTTTTCAGTTCTGTGTAGGATTTGCTTATATGTTTGCTGGATTAGTGTCCTTAATTATAATTATAAAGAGGAGTTTGTGACTGATTTAATGACTGTTAGCTGCTCTCATCATCTTAATGTAAAGAAAGTTAAAATTAACACATCTGTTTTAGTTTAAACCACCAACAGCCCCACTTGTGGTATAACAGATGCAAGTACTTCAGATGTTTGAAATGTAGTTATTTGTAGAGTGATGAGCTTATTTATTTAATGCTCCCTTTAGAGTAAAAACTCCAAAAAATATGTTATAGTTTACTATTAATGTTGATAGTTGTTGTACAGCAGCGTAGAGCTTTAAAGATGGCAATTCTTTCTTTTTGACTTCAGAAAGTAGAAACTGTTTTTGCACACATTTAACTTTCTAAAACCTTTGTTTTATTTGTCAAAAATTACATTTTTTGTCAAACTAATACAGGTGCTGGTCATAAAATTAGAATATCATGAAAAAGTAGATTGATTTCAGTAATTCCATTTAAAAAGTGAAACTTGTATATTATATTCATACATTACATACAAACTCATATATTTCAGATGTTTATTTTGTTTAATTTTGATGATTACAAATGACAACAAATGAAAATCTCAAATTCATCATATCAGAAAATTAGAATATTGTGAAAAGGTTCAAAATTGATGGCCCCTGGTGCCACACTCTAATCAGCTAATTAACTCAAACCACCTGCAAAAGCCTTTAAATGGTCTTTCAGTCTAGTTCTATAGGCTACACAATCATGGGGAAGACTGCTGACTTGACAGTTGTCCAAAAGACGACCATCGACACCTTGCACAAGGAGGGCAAGACACAAAAGGTCATCGCTAAAGAGGCTGGCTGTTCACAGAGCTCAGTGTCCAAGCACATTAATAGAGAGGCGAAGGGAAGGAAAAGATGTGGTCGAAAAAAGTGTACAAGCAAGAGAGATAACCGCACCCTGGAGAGGATTGTGAAACAAAACCCATTCAAAAATGTGGGGGAGATTCACAAAGAGTGGACTGCAGCTGGAGTGAGTGCTTCAAGAACCACCACACACAGACGTATGAAAGACATGGGTTTCTGCTGTCGCATTCCTTGTGTCAAGCCACTCTTGAACCACAGACAGCGTCAGAAGCATCTTGCCTGGGCTAAAGAGAAACAGGACTGGACTGCTGGTGAGTGGTCCAAAGTCATGTTCTCTGATGAAAGTAAATTTTGCATTTCCTTTGGAAATCAAGGTCCCAGAGTCTGGAGGAAAAGAAGAGAGGCACTTCATCCACGTTGCTTGAAGTCCAGTGTAAAGTTTCCACAGTCAGTGATGGTTTGGGGTGCCATGTCATCTGCTGGTGTTGGTCCATTGTGTTTTCTGAGGTCCAGGGTCAACGCAGCCACATACCAGGAAGTTTTAGAGCACTTCATGCTTCCTGCAGCTGACCAACTTTTTGGAGATGCAGATTTCATTTTCCAACAGGACTTGGCACCTGCACACAGTGCCAAAGCTACCAGTACCTGGTTGAAGGACCATGGTATCCCTGTTCTTAATTGGCCAGCAAACTCTCCTGACCTTAACCCCATAGAAAATCTATGGGGTATTGTGAAGAAGAAGATGCAATACACCAGACCCAACAATTCAGAAGAGCTAAAAGCCACTATTAGAGCAACCTGGGCTATCATAACACCTGAGCAGTGCCACAGACTGATCGACTCCATGCCACGCCGCATTGCTGCAGTAATACAGGCCAAAGGAGGCCCAACTAAATACTGAGTGCTGTACATGCTCATACTTTTCATGTTCATACTTTTCAGTTGGCCAACATTTCTATAAATCCTTTGTTTTTATTGATCTTCAGTAATATTCTAATTTTCTGATATGATGAATTTGAGATTTTCATTTGTTGTCATTTGTAATCATCAAAATTAAACAAAATAAACATCTGAAATATATGAGTTTGTATGTAATGTATGAATATAATATACAAGTTTCACTTTTTAAATGGAATTACTGAAATCAATCTACTTTTTCATGATATTCTAATTTTATGACCAGCACCTGTATGTATGACTTATGCCCTATGTTGTGGAATACAAATTCAAGGTGTGAGCAATTGTTGCTTTAATTATTAGTACGATGGCGCCCCCTGGCGTTTATATTAACATGTTGCGTGTCTTTTTTCCCCCCCATCTCTGTGTCCAGCGACTCGCGCAGAGAGCAAATTATTTTGTACAAACTTTAAAAATTCTATTCAGCAATACAAATGTTATTAGCATTTGTAAAAAAACAAACAAACATTTTTATGCGGAAATTATGGATGCGGAAAGGACGAGCAAACATTAACTACTAGTGAACATCCTTTCAAAATAAAAGCCTCATCTGCGCTGGAAACCAATAAATTCATAAAACATGCGAAGACTACCAAGATGCAAACACAAAAACATCGAGCAACACATTCAGAGATATATTACTATAATTTAAAATAAAACAATTTTTAATTTGGATAAGCACCAGCAACTTTTTAGCGACAGGCAGAGAACCGAACCAAACTTGGCAGCATTACTTCATGATGAGGTGTGAATTCAGGTTACATTATCTGTCCAAATTAACTCTATGTAACACAAACATAACCATTGAATAAAATCGAGCCTCCCTTGCAGTGCTTATTTTATTTTGAAGGTGAGCCGGAAGCTAACCTACTATAACTGCTGTCCAAGCTAGCTTACGGCAACTCCTTTAGCTGCTTGAAACAGCATCTTCTGTTTGTCGATTTTTATGCTATAAACCACCTGGATCGTTGCCTGTCTTCCGTTGGAGAGCTTCCTTTGATGGGAATTAGCTCCAGGATGATTCCTACCGAGGATGCGTCCGCCAGGAAGCGAGAGATCGAGGAGAAACTGAAGCAGGTCAGTTTGGCTGGACAGGAAGAGGTTTCCAATGTCACAATATTCATGCTTTAACTCAGCAAACAAATAGTTTAAAACACCCGCAGGATGTTACCTATAAAGATTGATTCAGAAAAGGTGTGATCGGAGGTAATTGTTCATTGTGGGGTTTTATAGGAACAGGAAACTCTGTCATTCATCCGGGAGAACCTGGAGAAGAGCGATCAGCTGACCAAAGGCATGGTGAGATCCACAGTGACAATAACAATCACATAAACTCTAGAATGATTTTATTCATATGTACTATTGTTAGAGTTGATTTAATACAAGCTTCCTTTTTAATTGAATTTCTCACAGTCTGTACTACTATATGGGGGGCTACACACAACATATTTGTAAACATATTTATTTTTAAATAACACAGAGAAATCCACTAATATCAGCTTTTCATGAAAGCAGAAGTTTGCCTGGATTTAGAGCAAAACTGCTAGCAGGTGAAATTTCTTTAATCTGCAAATCAAATATGTAGTTTTTGTAGATCTATATTATTAAGTTGTAGGCAAATGTGATGCCTCTCTGTTACATCAGTTCAGTTGCCTCTGAAATATCTGGGAATGCTTTCTAAAGCTACTACAAATATCTGAGTGCTGTGAATGATAACAGACTGGATTTGAACTGACTATTTTTGACAAATAATTTTTGATCTTTGAATAATTGCAGCATGATGGTGATCTTTTATCAGCCTGTAGTTTCTAGTGCAGTCCTTTGTTTTTCAGCTTTTTGTTAAGAGGAATTGCATCAGGGCAATGGGATACCCAAACAATCAACAGTAGAGCTGGATTAAGGATCAGAAGATCCATCCATCCGTTTTCTAACATGCTTACTCCCAAGTGGGGTCACGAGGGGTTCTGGTGCCAGCTGTCAATGGGCGGATCAGAAGATGTTTGACTTTATCAGAACAATTATCTGCAAGGTCATAAATGCATGCAACATGTCTAACAGTAAAGGGATGTATGACATGAACTTTATTAGATTCCCCGCCCCTTGAAAATGCCTGCGACATGCATATGTAATGATGCTATTTAAAACGTGATGCCCCCTAGTTAATAACTCACTTGCATTAATGACATGACAGCTTTTGGGAACAAATGATCATTAATAAACTTCACCTGCACTGATGATATTACACCCGTTATAAATATGATTATGTAATTGCCTGTATGTTGCATTTTTTACACCCCAACTATTGTGCATTTGGTATCCCTAGGCAAGGGCTCTCGCATGCATGAATGATGTCACAGCCGTTCTGAATAGTCATTCTATAGAATATAAAATTTAACACTGTAGTAACTGCTATATTCAGGAACAGGCTTGTTTTAAAGGCAATGCTCTAAGAGCAATGCATGGGTAAAAATGTCCTGAAAGTACATAAATGTGCAGAAAAAATATTTAAAAATCCTGCAAAAATAAGAAATTAAAGTACCGTAAGTAAAGATTGAAACAAGACTAACACAAAACAAAATAAAGAGCAGCTCAGTGCTAACAAAATGCACATATAAAACCCTCTGCAAACACATAAAAGATGCTAGCCACTGATAGGGGGGCATCTTGGTTACTAACCAGCCCCTCCAACTATCAACATATAGTCAAAAAGTTTTTATTTTTCCAAATAGGCAAAAAACAAACAAAAAACGGCTTGTAAAGAAATATATAGGCTTTATATTTAGGTTACAAAAAAAGACTTGGGTAGAATTCAACCCAAGTCTTCCTAAACATTAAATAAAGGCTAACATAGAAGCCCCTGACTCTTTACTACTGTTTATAATGGAAAAGATGAGAAAGCATCCCATCAGTGGATATCTCTTATAATCCTAGTTAGAAAATGTTTTCCGGCAAAACAGCCTCTTGTGACAAACCAAGGTTACATCAGGACCCAAGTCTACCTTTTTATTTTATAGAGGGGGGCATTAGAGGACCCAGAACTCAAGATGATGTACAGATAAAAATCCTAGAAGAATAAAGGCTCTCCTCACACCAGAGGGACTAAAACTCAAGTTGATATTGTATATTTTTAAGTTTATCAAAATGGTAATAAAAATACGTTTTTATGTATGTGTGTGCTGCATGTAAACAAACCCCATACGCGTACACACATAAGCCTCATTTAGTCGCTGTTTTCGACCTGTTCTGTTCTTGTCCTCTCAGGTTTCCATCCTGTCCTCGTTCGAGAGCCGCCTGATGCAGCTGGAGAACTCCATCATCCCAGTCCACAAGCAGACGGAGAACCTGCAGAGACTGCAGGAGAACGTGGACAAAACTCTTTACTGCTTGGACCACGTCATCAGTTACTACCATGTGGCCAAAGACACCGACAGGATCATCAGAGAGGGGTGAGGATTATTAGCTTCACCTTTAAATTATGCTGTTTACAGTTAGTGAGACATGATTTATTTGTTTTATACACAGACCTTCAGGCAGGCTTGATGAGTACCTCGTCTGCATTGCAAAGATCCAGAAAGCTGTGGAATACTTTCAGGACAACAATCCTGACAGCCCTGAACTCAACACAGTGGTAAAGTATCTGGATTTATGTCTTTATATAAGTCTCTGAAATGCTTTCCTTGTTTATTTTTTCCAGCACAGAGGAATTTTTTTGGAGCATCTGCATTGCATCCACACATGGTTTAAAAATACTTTTTAAAAGATGAAACGATTTGGAATCCGGTTGAAGTTTTTTACAGGAATGGGCTTTTACGAAAAATCCTGAATCTAAAGCATTTTGATTAGGTCTGCAACTAACTAATATTTCCCAACTCGATTAATCAGTCAATAATTTTTTGAAATAATCGATTAATAATTCTATAGCCAAAGATTCTTTAAAGAAGACTTTTTATGAAATTAAACCAGATGAAACTTAAACTTTTCCCCTTGAGGAGTTCTAGATAGAGCATATTGACAGACAAAATATATATTTTTAAATCATGAATACAAAATGCTGATATATTATTTTTTTTTTTTTACAATTTTGGTATAATTACTGCTCTAGATGGGTCACTCTGTCAGCTAATTGCATATTTTAGAGTTTCTTTACTCCATTTAATGATTAGTTCTTTACTGATCATTGTTGATGATTATTATTTCAATAATCCATTAATCTGATTAATAGTTTCAGCCCTAATTTTAATTTCTTTTTTTTTTTCAGATTTCTATTAAAGTCAATTCACATATATGTAATTAATTTAAAGGGAAATTAACTAATTATAACACTTAAAGGGGTTCTTTAACAATATGTAGATGTTGATGGCTGTAGGCAAGAAGGATCTCCTGTAGTTGTCTGTCTCACAGCAAATCTGGACAAGCCTCTGATTGAAGACTCTTTGCTTTAGATTTTCTATTTTTTCTCCCTTTCTTCATAGAATAGAGTCTTTGAAAATAGGTTAAATTCTTACATATTCATACATAAGTACATAAAGTCTGGCGACACTAAAAATGTTTGAGTAGCAGGGGGAAAATTTACTATTTCTATTAAAAAAGACAAAGATTTAATAGTGAACATTGCAAAATGTATAATAAATATAGGAAAAAATTAGATTTTCTTTTCCAAAGGAAAAGTAGAAATAAAAAACCCCTGACCTCCTTTGTCCATCTCTGTTTAAACCTAAATGACACATTTTTATTTAAACCAAGACAAATCTTTCTGCCCTGATTGAGCTGTGTTGTTTTTTTCTCTGCAGAAAGCTCGCTTTGAAAAAGGTAAAGAGCTTCTGGAGGCGGAGTTTCGGAGCCTCTTGTCCCGCTATAGTAAACCCGTTCCCCCCGTCCTGATCTTGGACGCCATTACTGTGGATGAAGAAATTGATTTGCAGGAAGAAGTGGTTCTGGAGCACCTGCCTGAAGCTGTGCTGCAGGACATCATCTGTATTTCCAGCTGGCTGGTGGAATACGGACGCAATCAGGGTACGGATGCCTGCTTTCTCATATCACCTCCCCATCAGGTCTCCTCTCTTTTTTTTAATTTTATTAGATTTACTCATTTAGAGGATTGATTCAGTTGCTCTTTCTTTCTCTCAGGAGATAACAGAGGTTATATAATGTTTTCTTGCCTTAATATGAATGTATTTTTTGAGCAACTGTGATTAAACATCCCTCATTGCCTGTGGAGTTCTAATGGACGTGAATTAGATCCAGTCCTGTTCTCTGTAACGTCCCTCTTGCTCAAGAGATACTGAGAAGTTTCATTTTCTTGACTGATGAACAGCAGAGAGACTCATCGAGATATATTTAGCTTCCGCATTTCATTATAACATCCATCAAAATATGTTTCATTACAAAAACATGTTCCTGGTCATACACTGTAACACATTTATTACAATCCCCCCAGATGATTGGGAAGAAAAGTTATTAAACGTTAATGGTTTAATTCCATTTCGTTCAATGGCTTTTTTCAGCAAGCCTTAGTGTGGTATATTTTCTCAGCACTGGCTGCTTTATCACATCACTTATCGAATCTCATCACATCTTAAAAAAGGTTTCTAGATTTTACACCTAAAAATAAGAGTTTGACACCAGTTAAACAGCTAGTGCGCTGAATAACATACAAATCTCTGACTGTGAAGCTGGAAGTACCCGAGGGTTTCCATCGGGGGGCACCATAGAGCCATGGAGAGTGCTCAGAGAGAGTGGAGAGTGCCCAGCATGAGGGTTTCCTGTGTGAAATAGAGAAAATAACTCCAGTTAAAAAAACAAGAAACATAAGATACACAGAAGCAGTGAAGGGAGTTAAAGGACAGGAGAAAAAATAGTTTCACTCCAACAGTAGAGAAACTCATTTCACTAATAGCATATGTCATCAACTGCACAGACCAAGCCAAGCATGAGATGGAGACAATCAGGATCATTGCCAGAAGAGCTGAAAAGGTTTTGGGGTGCAAAGAAGTTAGTTGGAAAAACATTGTTACACGTTTGGTGGTGGAGGGAAGAACAGGAGCATCTGGAACATAAACAGTTTAAGATATTATTAATGATAAATACTAATTTCCATCCATCCATCCATTTTTTCTGACACGCTTAATCCCAAGTGGGGTGGCGAGGGGTGCTGGTTCCTATCTCCAGCTGTCTACGGGCAAGAGGAGTGGTTCACCCTGGACAGGTCGCCAGTCCATCGCAGGGCAAAATAGAGACAAACAGGACAAACAACCATTCACACGCACACTAAGGAGAATATTAGAGAAGCCAATTAACCTAACAGACATGTTTCTGGACTGAGGGAGGAAGCCGGAGTACCCAGAGAGAACCCATGCATGCTCAGGGAGAACATGCAGAAAGACTCCAGGCCGGGAATAGAACCCGGAACCTTCTTGCTGCAAAGCAGCAGTGTTACCCAGTAATAAATACTAATTTTAATAGATAAAGATATAGGAAATTGGGTTATTAAAATATGGATATAAAGTAAAGTAGATCAATATATAGGTAATTTTTTTCCACATTCCATACTGGCAGGTGGCGGTAATTCACTTTCAAATTATTTGCCAATCGCCATTAAACTTCAAAAAAGAAGAACTGCAGTTAGAATACCTTAAGAGTGTCAACAACAGCTCCACAGCGATTAAAAGGATGCTAATTGCTGTTTTCAGGTAGAATGAGGAGTTTTATGAGCCACCAAACCGGGAAGACTGAGCTGACCGAGGTTCCCAATATGCAGCTTTTTCTTAGCAATTGATGTACTCTGTCATGTCTTGTGATTTTAGCAGCTATTTGAAATAAAATTAGTGTTTTCTAGGTATGTAGCAGAGACGTTATCATTATTCCCATAGGATTAGAAGCTTCATAGTTATTTTTAATTGATATTTTAAAGATGCATATTAATGTCAACAATCATAGTTGCGTCCCCTTAAGCAGCAGCTGTATTTAAGAGAAACACCAACCTTTATGACTGCAAATCTAACAGGGATCAGGTGAGAGTCGTGGTTCTCCCTCAGCTAAGTTGTATATTAATGAAGTGATTGTTAAGGAATTTGTTGAAAACAGCTTTTTTCAGCTAGGTTGGAACACAGCAGCAATGGTTCCCACTCTGATCATTCCTACTTTCTCTGTGTTAAGACCAACATCCCAGATTATATATTGTTGCAGCAGGTAATTTTCTGCATGCTACGGATTTGTACCTCATGTTTTAGTTTAGAACCAACCTTGGCAGGTGGAGAGGTGATGCTTCTTGGTTGAGAGACGTGACTCATATCAAGCAGGTTGTTTAGATTAAAACTGCTTTTAAAAAACGAAAAATCTGTCATGTCCACTTGGTATCTTTAAATGTTTTCTCTCTCTCTTACTTTTGTTTTTCATGAATTATTTCCTGATATGAGCCAAAGTTATCATTCAATTCAATTTCAGTTCAGTTTATTTATTTAGAGCCAATTCATAACACATGTCATCTTAAGGCACATTACAGAGACAATTCATTAATAATACAGTCAGATGGGTTCAAAGTTTTCTATCTTAAGGAAAACCGGCTGATTGGATTAACTTATTGACTCAACAGCAATCCCTCGCACAAAGCATTGTTGTAGCGACAGTGGAGAGAAAAAACTCCTTTTCAACAGGAAAAAATCTTCAGCAGAACCGGGCTAGGTGTGAGTGGCCATTTGCCGAGGCCGACTGGGGTTCAAGGAGACAGAAGCAGACATAAAGAAATGAGCAAAGATACAAAAGTAACTGTGGCCCCTGTCCAGGAAAGGCGTAGCTTGGCAGATGAGCTTAGAGCCAGTTTCAATATAGGGGGATAAAAGAGCATTTAGTCACAGTCAGAGAAACAGATTATACTGACAAACAGGCCAAACTTCAACATTTAGAAACAAAGGTGTTGATGGAAGCTGGTGTCTCACTCCGGGATGGTGTTCCATCCAAACAGGCACAGAGCAGATGACGTTACTATGATGACAAAAGGCAGAGAGAGCCTAAAGATACAGTTTCTGCAGAATAAAGACAGAATGAAGCAGAATGACAAAAGTGGTCCCTATGTTCTCCAGCACTCTAAGCCTATAGCAGCATAACTATAAGCTTTACCAAAAAGGAAAATTTTAATACTAGCCTTAAAAGTTGGCAGAGTGTCTGCCTCACGGGCTAAAATGGTATCCCTCTACTTGTGTGAGAGAGCAGCTGCATAGAAAAGAGGGCATGAGCTGTGTTGATTATGCCTAAGAAGCTTCATCTGATGATTTTCACTCAATAAGGAATTTACAGTCTGTATTATAGTAGCAGTGATGCAATCTTCATCATTGTCTTCTTGTGTCTTGCGTAGATTTCATGACCGTCTACTTCCAGATCCGATCCAGCCAGTTGGATCGCTCCATTAAAGGCCTAAAGGAACATTTCCGCAAGAACAGCGCCTCATCTGGTATCCTGTACTCACCGGCCGTCCAAACCAAACGCAAGGACACGCCCACCAAAAAGGCTCCGAAAAGGCCAGGTCAGCAGCAGACAGACCTCCTTCCAAACACGATTCTGTTAACCTTCCACCCCACTCAACCTTTACAGCTTCTATTCTACAGAGAAATGTATCAAACATGTCTGAATGGGTGAATGAGGATGCTTGCATTCAGTGTGTTTGTTGGTTTCCATTAAACCACATTATCCTCCATCTTTCCAAATGGTGTCATTTGAAATGCTCTAACCACCCTTCATCCTTTCCTCCTCCATAATCCCTGTGCTGTGATGACAGTCTACATCCCAGGTAAAGACAAAGCTTTCCGTGTGCGTTGTGCTCGCTTCTGTCTGGTTCATGCCGCATAGCGGAGCAGACCAATTAATCCGTTTGTTCAGATTTAGTTGGTTAGGTTTCAGTATGTTGACCTTCAGCTTCATGGCGGGGTACAACGTCAATCAGTGGCTGTAGAGGTGGAGCTGATTAAAAATAATAAGCTCCATGCTGCGGATTGTTACTGCTTCACCCAGATGACCTCATAAACTCCATCTACTACACCTTCATCAGACCCTTAAAAGGCTCCATTTTCAGACACAAGAAAACAGAACCGTTCTGTATTGATCTCTGCTGACGCTCTGAAACTGAAGGCTGTGTAGATTTCATTGGGTTGTGGTGCTTTGTGTAATTAGAGCTTGTTAACTGAGTCCGCACACAAGCTGTCTGTCAGCAGATAACAGGAAGAAAAAAGACTATGGAAGGTGACTGATGGACTGTTCTGTTTATAAACAGGGAAACAATGAGACAGGATGTATGAATATTTCAGCCTTCCATCAGTTATATTTAAGCAAAGGTAAATGAAGTCATACAGAAAATATGACTAATAAATAGTTGTTTTGGGACTGTTAAACTATTATTATATGAAGTTTTCTCTTGTTTTTTTATAAGGCACAGATGAGCTTCAGTTATAAATGTTAAAGGAAACTATAGGCCCTCAGCACTTAATCAGCTTCCCACCGAAGGTTTGAAGTAATTTTGCTTAGGAAAGGTTAAAAGGAAGTAAACTTGGTAGAAGTCTAATCCGTCGCACCCGATCTTCTCTCTTTAAATGCATTTAGTTTTTCACAATATAATGAAACATGTTTTCTATTTCTTCTCCATTTGCAACTACTGCTCGCCTTTATTGACTAAAGCTGGTGTAAAGTTAGGTTTTATAAGGTATATCTTGGTACTTGAATTTAAAGTATTCAGGTACTCCTTTGGAAGAACAACATTAATAGGATTAATATTGATATTAACGGCTCTGTTTTGAGTGCATTTTAAAACAAAGACACAAGTACCGTACTGCAGGGGCAGGACTCCATAATGTTCCCAATCGATACAGGAAATTAAATTAATTAAAGGTATAGTGGAGGATGTTCTTTTTTGGGGTGGATCATCTAAATAAGTGGACCTCCTAATTGTCAATCATTCTGGTGATATGTGTACGTCCGGCCGTCCTACGTGCTCTTTCCGATTTTCACTTACCGGTTGTGAGTCTGACATAGTGGAAAAATTGCAAATCTTCTTTTAGAAAGTGAGCTTGTACGAGCAATGCAAACAGCAACATTTAAACAGAGCGTGCACGAGGAGAAATGGGTTCTTGCACGCTCTCACACTCATTTCATTGGCGTTCCCTCGCAGGAGCGGGTACAGGGTTGTGCATGTGCATTTTATTTTTTAAGAGGAGAGGGCCGGTCTTTTTAAAAATTCATGAAAATCCTCCACTATACATACCTTAAGTTATGATAAACATACTTACTGTTGGTTTACGTTTGTCATCCACCAATGTCAGGATTAGGATTATCCCCCAGGAGGCTATAAACTGAAGGCATATATGTGATTTTTTTGTGTTTGACAGAACTTAATTGGGAAAATCTTAGGCAAGTTAACAAAGAATATTTCTTAATTATATCCTCAAACACTAATTGGGGTCATTTGTGTGAAAAAAGCTTAAAATTATAGTATAAATTAGAAATTTGGACATTTGGAGTTAAAAGGATTTAACTAAAATTGTTTAAAAATGTAATGTGCACCTCTGTTATGTTTGATAAAAACGGCGGCACCTTGCTTGTTATAGATCGGGGGTGTTAATTTTGACTTTTTCTTTACACCTAAAGCTCATGTATCGAATGCGCTACTAATTGAGCTACCACTAGATGGTGCTATGTCAGGCGTAAACCTCAATGCTACTTGTTTCAGGTCACATTGACACAAAGGTGTTCCTGAGATTATAATAGAAATTAATTGGAAGCTCTAAATTATACAGCAGCTATTAGCTGTTCTCAGAATGATTTGCGAATAAGTAATATACTTGATCAGGTGTATTTTCTGCATTCAAAGATGGAAAAAAAAAGTGTTCCTGTATCTGTATTTTGTATTTTCATTTCTTTTTATTTATTTTTTTGTATTATTTGTAAAGTGACCTTGAGTGTCAAGAAAGGCGCTGTTAAATAAAATGTATTATTATTATTATTAAAAGGAAAATTATGAGGCAGTCTGTGCAGACTGCCATTTTAATAAGCATTTAGAAATGCTGTATGGCTGTTGTTGGGGGCAAAATGAAAAAATAAAATAAAAAATAACTTCGATGTAGTTAAATGGTGTCTTTATCGCAAAAAACGTTCCCTTTTAAGCTCTGGAGGTAGATTCTTTGAAATCCCATTGGGTTTTTCTGTTAAGCCTTGCAGTTAAAATGTGTTTTCTGGTCACTTGATCAGGGCCTTAATGTTGGAGGCATCAAAGGTTTTACCTCCTTTTTGTAATCTCGCCTAGACGACCTCGATTTTAATGTAGAGTAGGAGTACTTGTCTTTGGCCTTATTTATATTTGTTTCTGTCTGACCAGAAGTCCTGCTCTGTGGTTCTGAATGTGAACGTTGTTTGACTGAAACCGTCAAACATTAAAGGAAACAACGCTGTGATGTTCTCATCGTTTATCTGCCGCTGTTACCAGAGCCTTGGCGGAATTTACTGGCGTGGCGACTTGACCTAAACACCTAAACATCTGTCCACAGCTCTTTGCTACAGACTAGATGTGTCTGTGTGTGAGGGGACCCACTCCAGCGTCTACTGCCATCAGTGCTTGTTGAAGTCGGCATGCTGTTGGACATGATTCCAAAGCCACGTCTCTGTGTTTGCGTCGGACGCATGAGTGATGTTGCTGATGTTCTAACCAGCTCTGTGCGGCTCGCTGCCAAATGTGCCACACGCTCACTAACCAGCTCACAAACATCACATTTAGTTCTTAACCTGTTAAAAATTTTCCATTTGTTACTCTTCAGGCTGTATAAGTGATAAGAATGATGCTGTGTATGAATAATGTACCTAACCTGTGTGTTTTCTTCCATGACCCTGGCGCTGTGTGTCTCAGCACAGCTGTCCTGTCGGTGCTTTAGTTTGTCTGGTTGTTTTGTTGTGTAGCTGGGGTGGTGGGCTGCTCCCACCCTCTGCTGGCTGCCTCATGGTGGAGGGATGTGCTGTCTGCTTTTCAACATTCACCTCCTAGTTCTCCTATCTTTTCTTCTCCTCCCTTACTGGTTTCTTGGCTGTCTGGACCGTGCTGCACCCCCTCCTCTCCTCTGGACTCTGTCTCTGTTTATGGGACCAGGGACCATTCGCAAGGCTCAGAACCTTCTGAAACAGTACTCACAGCATGGGCTCGATGGGAAAAAGGGGGGCTCTAACCTGACTCCTTTGGAAGGTAAAGCATCTCGGTCTTCTCTCCTGTCTTTGTTTTCCGTCTGCAGCTATTTCAATCACACAGGAAAAAAAAAAAGCCAATCAAAAAATCTCTGAAAGCCAGAGGAGCCTAAAAATCAAACGGTCTTATGGTTTGTGTTTTTCAAAAACTGCCTTGTTTGATTTAAGATTACACCTGGAGACACGTTTCCATTGTTGGGAAGCCCGTCAACTCTGTAAACATCTGAAATTTGAATGCAAGAATATTTAGATCGGATTATCCGAGTTCACTTAGCATGATACCTCGAGGTCTTCTTCATACAGGAGTGCTTTCTGATCTCCACAATCTGGTAAAATGTCAGTAGTTTTCTGCAAATTATCACATCCTCATTTACTGTAAAGCAATCCCTTAATACCTTGTCTGCACCACCTGTAAGCAATAGCAAGTCTAATGTTCAACAATATTTTTATCTTTTAGAAAATTGACAACTATAATTGATATCTGCATCTCAAAGCTTTCTCAATAAAACTAATTAGTGAATCTTTTCTAAATGCAGTGCAAAGGCACATTGTTTGCGATTTTTAAGGGTATAATACAAATTATAACCAAAAGCTACCCTCAGTCTCCCAAGAACAAAAAAAACGTTGGGTGCAATTTGGAGGCGTGTGTGCTTCTTTTTGCACAATGTCCCCAATCCATAATAATATGTGTAGTAATTGTTAGTGATTATCCCTCCTTTAAGAGCCCTGTTCAGATTGGAATTAATTGATAAATTATTTATATTGAATTTATATTTATATTGAAATTGACCTAATGATAATGGTATGAGGTTTTAACTTGGTACTGCTTCTGATTTGCTGCCCAAAAGAATCTATATGTCATCAATGCACTAATACAGTGCAAAAACTATAATAACCAAGTTAATTCAAAAATAATTATTTTACTTTTCTGATATTTACAGAAATTCACCCTGTTCTGCTTTGGATACTGATTGTATTGCTTGAAATTAATCTTTACCTCATTTGGCCCATTTTATTTAATTGTTACTCTTCCTCTAATTCATTTTTAGATTTTAAAAAAGGTCCAGTGATCTAAAGAAACAATCGCACCCATAACCGCTGCTAATATTACATATAAGTTTCTTTGCTTCTTTTTTTTGTTTTATCTGAAACTAGAAACTGCAATTCCCATTCCCATTTCAAGTCCCTTTTAATCATCAATGTAACCATAAGCACATGTTAGAGGTCAATTAAAAATCTATTATTGATTTTTTTTTTAAACTATAATAATTAAAACACCATATTTATTAGTATTTACATACTTTGTATTCTTGTATATCCTTCTATATATTAAAATAAACCCAAACAGATGCTGTATCTACAGATGATTAAAGGTCACAGTTTTTTGTTGACGTAACACAGTGAGGTTTTCGCATAATAAAGCAGCAGTGGAAACGTGTATCAGGTTGTGATTTTTAAAACTGTGAGATCAAACTAAAGTTGTTGTGAAACTTGAAGGCTTTTCTGTTTTATAGTTAAACACACTCACTGATTTAGACTACATGAACTCGCCCCCCACATTAGCCTTCAATGGGTGTCCCCTGCTTCTTTTCTGGTTCTGTATTCTGGTGCTTGGTGGCGGTCGGCACAGCTGATCCAGGGTCAGGTTTACCCCCTCCCCCCCACAGCCTGGTCATAGCCCAGAGGGTTTTGACTAGTCTTACTGCTACCCCCACCCACCAGGTTACGATAATGACCTCCGGGTCAAACTCCACTCTGATGCTCTGAACGAGAAGCACGCCGCCACAGGTGAGTGCTGGGAAAACTGGGGGGAAAGAAACACAGCAGGCTCTACTTGGATTAAATAGCTCAGGTTTTGTTTGAAATATGAGGTGTAAATTCAGCCTGCAGATGCAATACATAGTCTTACTGCACCAAACACAATCCCTTAACACAGAGCTCCATCACTTCTGATCCACAACTTATTTCTTTATTTTTTTCTTCCAAAAAAAGGCAGACCTGCTCCAATTTAGAGCAATGATTCTCCTGGTTTTCTGAAGGTCTTTGAAGGACTTTTTTCTTTATTTAAACAGGTAACCGAGTATAACATTATGATAAGGAAAATAATAAACATTTAGAAATATCCCAAAAATGATTGATCAAAGGACTCATATTCTGTCCTTAAAGCGTACAACAACAATAACTATAAAACCAGTTGTATAAAATCCAATGAAATCCAAAATCTTTTAAAATCACTCCACCTGTTCTAGTTCACCTTATATACCTCCACTATAAAATTGTCAATAAATAATAAAGATAATGACATACTATTAATATAAAAAAAAAAAAATTATATAAAGCCAAAAAGTAGCAATATTGATAATATAGAAAATATTAATCAAGCAGTTAATGTTAGTAATTTTATGTATTTTAGGATGGTTCAATTTTTTTCTTACAATGAAAAATACCGATATGAGTGTTCAGAATGATAACACTATATGCGGTTTTCTTTCTTCTTCTGCTCATCAATATTACCATTATCATCCTAACCGATTCATCAAATATTTATTTTTCTGATGGCAATTTAAACTTTTTAGGAGCTAGAAATGATCTGAATAGAATAATTCAGAGTTCTGTCTGTTAGACTCTTAACCCTGGTGTTTTCTAGATTAGATGGGAACCAATTGGGGTTTTTTTTTCTCGTAAAAGGCAGCTAGTGAAAATAGAGAAGATGCTATTTAAAATAGATTTTTAGGCCAAGTTTTACTTCCTTATGAACTTTGGTAACTTTGGTCAGAGTCTGTTTCCAAGGTAACAAAAATACCTTTCGTGGAAAGAAAAAGTTCTGTCATGGATTTTAAATCAAACAAAAAAAAAATAAAAACTACAAAGACTTTCAGAAACCTGATCCTTTTTTGGAAGAAAAATATGAAGTGAAAAAAACAGGAGGCTAAGATGTTTGCTTTGTCCTGTAAAGCACAGGTTTTACAGCACTGTTTTTTTTTATTTTCCCCTCTCAGGGAAAGATGATGTCCTGGACATTGAGATCGACTCGTACATCCACTGCATCAGTGCCTTTGTTAAGCTGGCTCAGAGCGAGTACGCCCTTCTGACAGAAATTATCCCTGAGCATCACCAAAAGAAGACCTTCGACTCCCTGATTCAGGTCAGACACACTGAGATCTCATCTTCTCAGTGGAGGTTTGGTAACTTTTAGGAGGAAATAAAATGTTCCTGAAATTAAATAAGTAAGTAAGTATTTATTGCCCTTTTTAGAGAAGCAGACACAAAATGCATCACAGAGATAAAAACCTTAGAAAATATAAAAGCATCCAAAATATAAAAAAGTATATTCAAATAAATAATACTTTAAGTGATAAAATTCAATCAGGTAGGCCAAATTCTGTCCTAGACTTTGCCGAAAGGTTTATATGGCAGCACATTTGCAGGATTGGAAAACAAGAAGAGATTTAAAAACACCCGGTTTTATGAGCTTCTCTGTTTTTAAAGTAAATCTGTTCACCCTAAGAGCAGTTTTTCCAGATGAAAAAGCCAGAAGTATGAAATCCACTTGTTTCTGATACATTACAGACTAATTAGGGACCAAACATGGCATAATTAAACGTCAAAACAAGTTTTACTGGTCATTAAAGGTGATTAAATAGAAAAAAAAAATTCTCTAGATTTTTTTAAAGCATATTATTAGTTGTCCTGAGTTGTAGCATTTTATTAAAAGCCTCGTCTTTAAAAGACTGTTTGTTATTTTTTATTTGATAAACTATTGATATATTAATAGTTACTTCAATAGTACATCTTTCTCTGTCATCTGTCCACAGGAAGCACTGGACAACCTCATGATGGAGGGAGACAACATTGTGTCTGCGGCCCGCCGGGCCATCATGCGTCATGACTACTCGGCAGTGCTCACCATTTTCCCCATCCTCAGACACCTGAAGATGAACAAGTCCGAGTTTGACTCGACGCTGCAGGTAGGACCTCTGTGGCCTCCTTCTTCTCACACGGCAGGAAAAGTCGTTGTGTTGCTCCTGTTTGAATATTCATCCGTTGCTCTGTTTTTCAGGGAACGGCTGCTAGCACGAAAAACAAGTTGCCTACTCTCATTACATCCATGGAGACAATTGGAGCCAAAGCGCTGGAGGAGTTTGCAGACAGCATCAAGGCATGACTATGGGATTATATCTATATAATCCATATTTCCTGATTTAGTGATCAGTTAATCTTTACTTGCTGCCCTTTGGTTTCCCAACCCCAGAATGATCCTGATAAAGAGTACAACATGCCCAAAGATGGAACAGTCCATGAGCTGACCAGCAACGTGAGTCATGTTTGTTTTCTAGGCTGCTGCATGTCTCCTGCTCATTCAGACTCATTTAGAAGCTCTTAGCAGATTTATATGTAAATACTATCATCTAACCAATGATTAGTCCCAATTCTGCTCCAACAGTGAGGCCAAAATAGGACTCTAAACACGCTCCATTATTGAAACCATCGTAATCTTCTGTAATAATGTTACTTTCCTGACTGATCACTGCTCCATGAAGCTGCACCTGTACTTTTCTTTTTCTCTCTGCAGGCCATCCTGTTTCTGCAGCAGCTGCTCGACTTTCACGAGACAGCCGGAGCCATGTTGGCATCCCAAGGTACCGTCACCGTGGCGACAAGAAACGGCTCAATGTCTTTCATTTTCCTGCTTTGCTAAAACCAGGGAACACTGTGCTGGAAGGTTTTTAGGTGATGATGTTTTTCTCTGCAGAGTCTGTTTTTATAAAGCAAAGTAAAGCATTTAAGTCCAGTTATAAAGATTTAAAAACCTATTAATATTTTTTTTATATCAGTGTTTTTATTACAATCTTTAACCTCTTTAAGTCCATCTTAGTTTATGTTTTTCGCCACATGATCCCCATAAAGGTATCTTTCAGTAAATTTCTTTTTAATAACCTTTTAAACCCCCAGTTTCATTTCCGAATAAAAAGAACAAATGGAGTTTATTAATTGTTTTTTCTTTCAAACTTTTTTTTCTTTGCTTATCAAACATTTCTTATACTGACATTTCAAAGCATTTCAATAATTTGTTACTAGCAAAGCTTAAAAAATGTTTAATCTGATTAATAAAAAAAGAAAATAACCCATCTAACTAAATAAGAGTCTCAGGTTGGTAGTCGGAGAGAGATGGATGCTTTAACCCATCACAGAGATTCAACAAAGCAACTCAATTCCATATTTTGAATTCTTATCTTAGCCATATTCACAGTGAATGCACATTTTGTAGAAATAAAAACCGACAGCAGAGGTTTAGCTTTTCTCCCCAAACGCCTGTCTTTGTTCTGAACAGTTTGACAGTCTGCTTTCCTGGTTTCTGCTTGTTTTTACTGACTGCTGCTGCCTCATAATTCTCTCAGGAGATGGTGGAAATGTTTCTCTCAAAACCCCCTCTACCTCGCTGATGGCTGCTTGCTTTCCCTGCTCTAACAGATCTCTTCTAACCTTGTTGGTCTTGCCTCTTTTTCTGTCTCTTCTTTTGCCTTGCCTCGGTCCTTTTAGTTCTGGGGGACACTTACAATATCCCTCTAGACCCCCGAGGTAAGCTGGAGACTGTGTTTGTTTGTGTGTGAGTGTTTTCTGTCTTCACTCTGATTCTTCTTCTGTGCTTTCTAAGCGATTATTGGCTCTGAAACTGTTAGTTAAATTAATCTTCTGTTTTTTTTTTTTGTTTGTTTTTTTTTTTCCCAGAGACAAGTTCAGCTAGCAGCTCCACCTCAGACTTCAACAAACGGCTCCTGAGCTCCTATATCTGTAAGGCCAAACGCCCAACTGTCTATTGTGCGTCTGTTCTTCTGCTAACTGCTAACTGTTCTTTTTCTCACAGGTAAAGTTTTGGGAAACCTGCAGTTGAACCTCCTCAGTAAATCCAAAGTTTACGAGGACTCTGCTCTGAGCGCGATTTTCCTGCACAACAACTACAACTACATTCTCAAATCGCTGGAGAAGTTAGCATCTGTCCCACCTCTCTGTCTCAGCCTGATTTGCTAGATATTTTTCATTTCATCATCAACATGTAAACGTTTGCTCCTTTCACGGCTGCAGGTCGGAGCTGATCCAGTTGGTCAATGTTACTCAGAGGAAAGCAGAGAATTCCTACAGAGAGCTGATGAAACAGCAGATCGATGCGTATCAGCGCAGGTAAATCCTGGGTGAAGGTTCCAAACTGTTGACATTTTTTCACACCTTTTGACATCCTACTGAAAGCTGTTCTTTGTGCTGCAGCTGGCAGAAGGTCCTGGACAACCTGACGGACAGAAACATGCCTGTTTTCCAACCCGGTGCCAAGGTCTGGACTTGAATATGCAGACATGTGTGATCTGTTACTTTGAATCTTTAGCACAATTTCCACCTAAAATTTTGCATCAGCGTCATAACTTGATAGAAACACCTTACAGGTGATATTAGTTTTATAATTTAAGTGAAATAATCTCTTCTAATCACTATATTAGGTTATATAAACAGCATAATTTCTTTTTTTTGTACAAGCAAGTTTCTGATAAAAGGCACTAGATTAAAATTCAAGCACTAGGTTCCACAAATGCACTATAAAAGTATAAATAAGCAAGAGATTTAAGGGCAGAAAACACAGAATCCGACAGAAAATCATGTTGGACGAGGTCGTGACGTTTAGCGCTTAATGGGGGTGACCACACCTGACACGATTTTACCCAAGGGGGCTGCGTAGCTACGACTGAGATAGACCTCAGGTCTATTTTAGTCTGACTAACTATCAATTCAGTGGTAATTTCATGGATCTGACAGAACAAGAGACGTGGTTACAAAGTAAAACGCATCTGTTTGGGGGAAATACAAAATAAAATCAGTTAATTGCATGGGGAAAGAGTCCGTTTTTGGGGTCACATAGAACAAATATAGCATGCAGGACAGAGTGATCCAAAAGCCTTAAATGAAACATTAAAAAAAGCATACTTTACCATGATAGGAGTTCGCATCGCAAAAACGAGGGACAGAAAGTGGAGTTTATCAATCTTCTCACGATAAAAATAACTTCAGGAGGAGAAGAAACAGATTTAGTAAAATAGTGTTCCCGGTTGAGCCTCACAAAAAACAAAATAACTTGGAGCAGGTAGATCAGGTAATCGTGGCGCATCTCTCTCACCTCTTTATAAAAAAGGAAAGAAAAACGACAAACTTCTTAAATCTTTCTGAGAATCACCTCTCACTGTCTCGGTCAGCATATAAACCCCCCACTGCGTGTATTGCTGTGTTTTTCTTTTCTTTAGACATAGATCTCATGATGTTTTTAATATAGGCATAGTAACATTCTGTTCTGGTTTGGGAGGCTTCTCAGACTCATTAAGTGGGACTTTGCTTCATAGGTTGTGTTTTTTTTATTTTATTTTTTTTTAGAACTTTTTGTAAGCTGTCCCAAATCTAATTTGGGAAATTATTTTAATTTGTGTAACCTATAGTACAGAGACAGAAGTGAAAAAAATCTGCACAGATCTGCCCATCCTGCCTAGACGGAGCCTTTCTACGCAATCATTGTGACATGGAAAAAAAATAGGATCGGAGATTAAAAAGTCTAACTTAGCTGGTGTGTTTTGGCCTTTATTCATCATTCCTGGACATTTAACTATTTATAGGTAGACTGGAGGAGGAGGCACTGTTTGCTCTTTTTCTCTGAAAAATTATTTGTCCTTTAGATTTTTATCATTTTAAATATAATGAAAAAAATCAATATTCTGCTTAGCAGAATGAAACAAAAACACAACTCTGTTTATACGTTGTGTTAAAGCAGAAATAAAAACAAAATTGTTGCCCCCGCATGCTCCCTGCATTGTTTTGAGCATTTTAAGGTAGAATTCCATCACCGTCTCATGCCATGGTGTCCTATCTTCAGCAATGACACATTCAGAAGCTAATGAATGGAAATCAGAATAAGCTGTGCTCTTAGTTAAGGAAGGAGCGCCAACACCCCCATATTGCACCAGTCGTTTTGGTTGCTGGGAAACTAAAGGAAGCTCTGAACTTTTAGAAATGGGGTTTAAATGAAAAACATAACATCTGTGCTTTTAAAGACACTATAATCCGCAATCAATCATTATTTTACAGATCAAAGAAATTTCATGATACAGATTTGATATGATGGAAAGTGAAGAATATCAGAAAAAACCTATTAGGATGAAAACTTTGAGAGCGATTCATTAAAGGTTTATATGTAACTCGATAATGTTTGATATCAATGTTATCTTTCAGCTGAGAGACAGGGAGCGACAGGTGATTAAAGACAAATTCAAGGTGAGCCACTGAAAAAGTGCACATTTGAAATCTGAAGAAATGAAAGCAGATTTTTAAGTGCAGTTGTTCCCTGCATCTGTCCAGGGCTTTAATGACGGATTGGAGGAGTTGTGTAAAATCCAGAAAGGCTGGGCCATCCCAGATAAGGAGCAGCGAGACACCATCCGACAGTCCCAGAAGAAAATAGTCTCTGATGCTTACAGAGCTTTCTTGCAGAGGTAAAATTCGCCTAATTTATCTTCTCTGTCTTTTAGCTTAGCAGGATCCGTTAGCACACAGAAAATATATATATGTATGTATCATGACAAAAAAGTTCTCTCTCTTCTAATTAAAGGTAAAACAATGCACCCTGTTATCAGTCTGCTTTTAGAGACAGTTTTTCTTTACATCATTGCTTCGGTTTATTGAGCTCTAAGGTGTTTGTTTATGCAGACTTCTTCCTGTCAGGTTCCACTGTAGCATTTCAGTCCAGTTGAGGTTTAAACCTTGGTCCTTTACAGAACATTCAAACCACTGGTTTGAGTTTTTACCAATGAATTTCATCTTTTTTTTTCTCCTTACACATTGCTGTATTAAATGGTCTACAAAGTCTGATTTGAAGCCTGTGATACTCCTTCAATCGGCTCCTCGTGGCAGAACCCGTTTTACTCCCTCCATTTCTCCTGCAGATGCACCAATATCTCCTTCACCAAGAACCCTGAGAAGTATCACAAGTATCGGCCAGAGGAGGTGGAAGAGATGATCGAGAAGCTTTTCGACACGTCTGCCTGATGCACAGCTCCACCTGTCTTCCTCCCCCCGCTCAGAAATCCTCCCTCCTTCAGCCCCCTGGCACACCAATCTCCTCCCTCTTTGAATCTGAATGTTTTCTATCATCTATTTATCTAACTTTGCTTCTCTAATGTCATGTCTCTGATTAATAAACACTAAATCATCCTGGTTTATTAGTTTGGCTGATATGTTCATTACAGATAATTAAAACAAACAAATATGGAGACAGACAATGGAAAACATCCAGATGTTGTGCCCCTAATGAACATTCAACAATTAGAGAAACCCCACAGAGAGATCGCCTTCTAATAAGGTGAAGAGGCTGCAGACAGGAAGGCATTTAGACTGTTCAGTTCCACAGCTAACCAGCAGTGTGGCGCTAACAGACACGTCTCTGTGTTTTAAACTCAAATAGGACGCCTGTCGCTATAATTCATCATGCTTGTAAAAACTCAGTGTAGATATGCATTTAAGAAGGGAATAAAAAACATGTTTTATAAGAATAAAACTTAATAAGTATTCAAATTACTCCAAAAGAAAAGAGATGTTTTCTGAACTATTTTATTGATTATAAAGCAGTTACCAGTCATTTATTGAGCTGCTTCTGGCATTTTTCTGGTTTGGTTCTGTTTTAAACTAAAATATTTTAACAGATTCCATGTTTCTTAAAATATATATATATATATTTTAACAATATATTTATTGAAGTTTTGCATGCATGAAACATACAAAATGTACTTTCTAATGGTAAAAAAGACTTAGGGTTATAAACAAAAAAAAACAAACAAAAAAAAAAAAATATATATATAAGTAAAAGTTAATGAAGTTAAAGTAAGGAAAATGGGTGTGAGAAATATCAGGCCGGTACCGGGCCCATCTGACACCTGCTTATGTTGATCTATTTATAGAAATGGCCAAAACACAGTCACTTGGTGTTTCATCCACACGTCTTTCAAATGGGGCTTTAAAACTTCTAAAACGTGCTTCAAAATATTTTTTTCACAAATACTTTTTTGTTTTATACCTGTGTAAAAAAAAAAAAAAGGGAGATTTAAAAATCCACCTGACATGTCTGACTCTGCGGGAGTAATTCAACAGCACATATTTATTTTTAGCCCCACCCCCTAATGGCATTCGTCATTGGAAACTAGAGGCTCAGACCTTTCCAAGGAGGGGTCGGAGGTAATTGTGCGACCATTTCAGGTGATGTATCTGGCATGCGTTACATAAGCTTCCTCTATTTTTATTTTCTATTCAGTTTGGTGGCATTATTGTGTGTTCAAATGTACATTTCAATGAAACAATGGCTAAATCTTAAAAGCAAAGACTTTGTCTTATGCAGGAGGTCTCCAGTAATGTAAATAACCATATTTAACTTTCCAGATTCCCTTTTATGAGTGGCAAAATGCATTTGGCACAATTTGGCCACTTTTGGCACCACTGTGCCAAAATCACATTTCCGCCTAGCACACTGCCCCTTTAAACTTTATGGAACAAACATGCTTCAACTTATTTAGTCCAAATTTGCTTGATTATAGTCAAGATGTGGATCTTTAAAGTCTGAGGCTTCATCCATAGTTTCATTTGGGTTTTCATGTTGTTTTGTAGTGTTTATTTTGGAAGAAATTTTGGTGAGGCTAAATATTTTTTCTTTTTTATTTGTTTAATCACCTATAAATCAGACATAGTGACATTGAAAACAGTGGTTCCACCACTCAATGCCTTTCTGTCATTTCTGTCTTTGGGTGTGCTTCAGTGTACCGAGGCTTTAGTCCTTGATGTGTCTGACCCGGGTTTGAATCTGGCCCTTTAGGGGAGTGGTGGCCTAATGGTTAGGGCATAGAGCTTTGGATTCTGAGTTTGAGCCCCCCTCCCACAGACTGGCTCTCTGAGCATGACCCTTAACCCCACACAAAGTTTCCCGGGTGCTGCACAGTGGCATCCCACTGCCCCCCCTAAAGGGTATTGGTTAAATGCAGAGTTAATTTCTGCATTGTGAGTTCAATAAAGTTCTATTTCTACACAAACAATTGTGTTTCCAATTTATAGTTTGTGCTTTAATTCACATATGTCATTAAAGGTACAGTAGAATTTGCTCATAAGACCTACTGGGCTTAAGGGGTTGGTCACATTTTTTTTTACAATTTTTTTAATAATTTTTAAATTTTTATTTATTCTTTTTATATTATATGTTCTTTTTTGTTTGTTTTTCTTGTGTACGGCTCAAATGAATTGCTCCCGGTGGGTTTAATAAAGTGGTCTAAGTATGTTCAGGTCAACAGTCTTTTAATGAAACCAACATGGCTGTTCATCAGGGCTCCAAACCTTCTGATTTAACATGTTAATGCTTAAGAAAAACACTATATTGTTTTTTTCTTATTTCATCCATTCGGGTCATTCCCAATCATAATCTGAACACAAATGTTCTTTTTGTCAATGCCGCCATCTCTCAAACAAAAAACACTGCAGGTCTCCCTACCATCTTATAAACATTCCTTTCTGCTCTTGCATCTAATCTCGGACCTCTCTGAACAAACCACACACACGTCTTTGTTTCTCTTCTCTACATTGCTTTAACTGGTCAAATCCAGGTTCTTAAATTGATCCAAACTTCCATAAAGCTTTTACTGTTCCACCTTGCAGAGGCTTAATGTAATAATGGGCACTCCTGTCTGAGTGTATCTGTCAACCTGTCCATCACTGCAAACCAGAAAAAGCTTGGAAGTGGCTCAAAACGTCTCAACATACAATGTCAAAGTTAGTCATTTAAGTTTTACCTTTTAATTTTAGGTTTTAAGGGTTTAGTTGTAACAAATTAACAAAGCACTCACCTGAGTTTATTATATAATCACATTTTTTAAATAATTTTTATTAATCAGAATCAGAATTTCAGTTTTAGTCCTAAATGCATCATTCATTTGTTTCTTGTTGTTGAATTAATTAATGAATTGAAGACATTGTTGAAGGTTTTTGTTTGATTAAGGAATGATGATAATACAATGCATTTATGTGCTTTGTACAGATTTTCTGCAAATAAAAAAACCAGACTGTCTTACAGCTTGATATTTAAGGTAAACAACAGTTTTGAAATTGTTCTTAAAATCCTGCAGCTTTTAGTTGAGCTTAATTTTTTTTAATACCTATTCTGAAAATTATTTTCTTAATAGGATTTAAAGCTCAAGAAGGAGAAGGCAGATGGTTTAAATAAATCCCAAGTTTAAAATAAAATGAGGCTATAAATGAAGCATAACAAATTAAGGTCCTAATGAGAGTTGTTCAACAAAGAGCTAAATGTTTCCTCCAGATGATGATGATGATGATGATGATGATGATGATGATGATGATAATGATGGAAGCCAGCCTGGAGCATTCAAACTCTCTGAGCTCTTCTGTGTTTCTGTCCCCCTGTAGTGCTGAAATCATCTCGTGGGTCACAGTGAAGAGGTAAAGCTGTTGCCTCTTATTACCAAGACAACCAGTCCACCTCTAAATCTGCAGGTTTCCATGGTGATACTGATCGATCCTGAATGTTTGGTTCTTCTCTTTCAGGGTTTTTTTAGAAGGTGAAGACGGAGTCTCTAAATGACATCTTTTAGTCTGAACGGTACCTTATTACCTTTAGCTGGAGAGCAGAACTGAGCTTTATAAGGTTTTAGACTCAGAGGAACAACAACAGCAACATCAAGAGGCAATATCCACAAATGACGAAAACACGGGACCCTAATTATCCATTTCAAGAGTGACTGGCACACCAAAAACTTAAAAAAAAAAAAAGTAAAGGAAGGATGAGGACACAAAATATTCTAGAACATTTAAAGTGGTAGGATCAAAGTTTGTGTTTCCACAATGAGATACCAGAGGAAAATAGCATTCATGGAATACCACTTATGTACTTGACATTGATAAAAACTGGAGATGAGCAAGAATTACAAAAAGGTCTGTCCTATATTCCTCACAATGAATGAGGATCCTCAAGACTTTGAAAGCACTGTAGGTCCATCTTTTCCAATAAAAGCACTTGAAGCAGCTGAGCATGTCCACAGAACAGGATGACAGATGAATGCTGTAGCTTGTAAACATGTCTGTCCTGATTTAGCCTAAAGTTCCCTCATTTTTTCTATCCAAGCTGTCGGACTTTCATGAAATAATTTGGATGGATAATCCAGATCCAGATGGAGAAAAGCCTGTGCAAAGATTATTTCCAACCATTTGTATGTTTGGCTTCAAAACACAGGCTGGGGCTCATCGACTGGATAAGTGAACAGGATGAAGCAAAACTAGGCAGGCTTTCTACTTCCTGGACCTGGATTATCCAACTCTGACATTTAATTAATTTTATATGGTTATTGTAGTAAATTGGTAACCCATTTACTTTGCATTAAAGTATCTTTGATCATAACAATAAAAAGTAATAATAGTGGTAATATTAAGGTATATAATCGGGTCAAATGTGTGGGTATAGCTAGTTTATTTTTTAGGTTGAGCTTTTGGAAATATCTACATTTATTTACCCAGTCTTAGGGACTAATTGTTTAACTTTAAATTTTGTTTTTAATTTAAAGTTAAACTAAATTGTTAAATCGTGTCACTCTCTATATTTGACACCCAGTGCAATAACTATATATATATATATATATATATATATATATATATATATATATATATATATATATATATATATATATATATATATATATATATATATATATATGTAAATATTCATCTTTATAAATATTCATGTCAACGCCCTGTGTAATAACCCTGTTTAATAATCCTACTATAAAAAATATGAAAAGGCTGTCATATCCTGACGCACTGTATATACTTTATATATCACATTCTTCTTCTCCTTTGACTATTTGAGCTGAGTAAATTTTTACTGTGAGATCAATAAAGTAAATCAATCACGAATCAATCAATTAATCAACCAATCAAGCATTTTCTGGCTGGGTCCCACAGGGAGGAACCTGCCAACCACACTACAAAAAATGTAAAGCTAAATAAGTACATTTTTCTTTGCCAATGGAGCAAGACAATTTGCATTTAAAATAAGAAAAGAAATAATTGCTTTGTCTTATTTCAAGTGCATATTATCTAATTATCTTATTTTAAGAGTAAAAATGCTAATTTAATTGGCAAACCATATTTTTTATCTACTCAAATTAAGAATAAATACTCTTAATCTGTGCATTTTTTTTCTTCTTATTTCTAGATCGTTTTTGCAGTGCAGGTGCTCGCAGATGTACCACAACCCTAGGCATTGCTCCAGGGAAAGGTCTCTGCAGTGATGTCACTTGCTTTGATTTTGTTGTCTTATAAGGGCTTCTGAACTGCTATTTGTCTGGCCTGTCACCCAGAGACTGTTTGCCTTGGGGGACACTACCAGGGGTATTTAAGTTTCCCAACCACAGCCTCTGGGATCATCTGAGCACTAAAGCCCCCTTCCCCAAGTCAAGGTGTCGGTTCAATAGCAGGAATGTAACCCCCACATTCTGTATTCACCAAAGCTGCAGCTTATTTGTAGTTCAACAAGACGGTTTCAACTTTATCCATCCGCTCATGAAGAAACATCAAAGCAGCGATAAAATCTCATTCATTGTGTCTCCTCCAGACAGGAACTCATTAATGGGCTCAAGTCTGAAAAAAAAATCACATAACTTGATTTGTTTCTTATTTTATCCATTAATTATCCCTTCTAACAATAACACCATACCAGGTTACTCTTCTGTCCTTCCAAGCATAACAAAGCCTGTTGTTGAGAAATACAGTTCCTTCACTATTTAAACCTACAGTTACTGCAGAAAAAAGAGACGTCTTTGTTGATGTAGTTTTTTTTTTTTAACATTTATGGGTAAACATTCATGGTTGGTTCATGGTTAAAAAACACATGGACAAAACAAAATCATTGATTTTTAGGCACTATACCAGCAGCTTACGCAAACATCTGATTCATCAGATTGGAGCAACACAGATGGACAAACAACATAAATGAAATTTTAGCTTCAATAGGATAATTCCAAAAGAGCTGTTTGCTGAAAACCTGAAAATATAAAGTCAAAAATCACCTGGAGAATGAAGCATTTCTGCCTGTGACATTACTTTATTGATTTCCTGTTTCCTCTTTTCTGAACAGACACATTTCAGGTATACCGTTCCAGATCATTTTTACGTTCCTTAGGTATTTCTAAGAGAGCATTGAACAACAATAAACTCTCATACTGACATTTTACAATAAAAACAGCTTCAGAGGCCTGTTGTCAGGGTAATCACAGCAGATATGAAGATCTGGAGAAATCTGTCTGATTACATAATGCTCTGGTTTAGGTCCCACGCTGCCCACGTCCACCATCGACCCTCCTGATGTCAAACTCATCTTACCTCTTTTGAGATACATGAAGAAAAGCAGATTAAACCTAAATTAAACACTTTATACAAAACATGCATTGATGAGATAATATTGGTGGATGATAGTAGCTGAATTTATTTATTTTTTTTTTATGCCAGCAGACACATGATCAGGTGTCTGAGCTCCCAGAAATTCACACTTTTTATCTAAACCTGTCTTACTTTGGAATTTCTCATTCAGTTAAATTAAGCCTGAAATGATTCATATTGGTGGAGTATTTTAATTTAAGCAAATGTTCATTCAGTTAAGAAACTTGCTATTGATAGGGCTGAGGCAGGCTTCTCTCAAAAGCTAATAAATGCATGTAAAAACATAATTAAAAAACATATATATTCTAAATCAAAGATGTTGAAATTATTTATTTTATTTACAACTGGGGAAATATGTTTATTGATATTACAGTAATCATTTTTTATTATGACCGTTGACCAACCTTGTGCATCCCCAAGCTTCTATTGATAATTGGATGATCGACCTTTGACAATGAGCTCCAATGTTGGAAGGCTTCTTTCCATCACCCTGATTATTAGCTCCTTTCGTAGATTATCAGCTACTAGTTGAGTCTTTCTCTGGGACAATTCCACACGTTAACATTACTTTCAGTCAAAGAAAATCTTGGTAAAATTAGGAGATCAATTCCCAGTCTGCCAGACATATGAATACATTTAATTGGGGTTGCTGTGTTTAGTTTAAAGGGAAATTCTTCAAATCCATGTCTTGGTTTTCAAGCAGTCAAAAACATAAAGTCATTAAAGTCATGCTGCTTTAACTGCACATCAGAAGTGTGGAAGCAGAGTTTTCAAGAAACTAAATCTTCATTGTGATCATGGATACATACAGCTTCATATTACAAAATAATTATTACAGCAACATTAAGCTTCAATTAAGGAGTCAAAATAGCCCCATATTGGACATAAACGCCTCTCTCCCAATGACCACTGGAGATTTACCAGTAACCCTGCATGGTAATCCAGGCATAGACATTGAGTAGATGGTTGAAATGCAATGCATGATTTATAGGTCAGATTGATGTAAACTGGCTCAGAGAAGAAAAACGTACCTCTAGAACTCCTGTAAAACATGGAACAATGGGCCAAAGGTGATTGTATTGGTTTTTGACTTCAGTTACCCCTAACTGTTTAAGTATCCTTTACGTCTACTCTGTACTCCAGAGATGTCTAAAAATGCGCTCTGCTTTTTTAAACTGTTATTTTTACATTTTACATTTAGATACACGGAGAAATATAACTATAAATATAACTATATCCTTCTATGGATTCTATACATCATCTATCCCACTAAATCAATGTCAAATACACAAGTTGTATCATTATATTGTGAGATCTTTTTTTTTTTCTACAGATGAGACTGGTGAATTTTACAAATGACACATGAATGTCATTCTGTTTTGTTGATATTTGGTTTCTTTTCCATTTTGTGTTATTTTTGTTTAGAATTTTTCAAGTTACTCTCTGTTGCCCCCTTGTGCCTGTATCCTTTCCCCTACAGTAGCTCCCTTCTAGTTACTTCTATCCACACCTGCTCCATATCAGCTCATTAGTCAATTCTTTGTTTGGTCCCACCTCCTTTGCAGTTATTCATTGTTGTTACTTGGCTCCCCATGTGTGTTTTTCCCTGATGTCTCCTGGTTTTTGGTTCTTGGATTTTGTTTCTGTTACATTTTTCATTAAATCAGCAAACTCATCTCTGTGTTCGACACATTGATGCTGGTCAAATTGGAACAATAACCATCCAGAAAGTAAGTACAAAATAAAAAGACATTTATACAAATGTTGCAACCAGCAAAAAGTCTCCTTTATAAAAACCAAAACATATGAAGATCTATAAATTTGCTTGTGTCACACAGAAATGAGAAATCAGTCCCAAGAAACTCTTAACCTTTTTTTTTTTTTTTTTTTTTTTTTTTTTTTTTACACAAAGTGAACAATTGAAGAGTGGGGATCAATGTCCTGTTGGTAGAACATAGTGTTCATTTTATAAGTCCAACTTAATTTGATTTAAAACAAAAAATAAAATTGTGTGCTATATACAGCTGGCATTGATATATAAATTACAAACAGTAAAACACAGTTAATTATTTCATTAAATTAAAAAACCAACAACCTATAGAATAAATAAAAGGCTGTAAATAAAAATAAAACAATAGCTATATTAATACAAATTGCTTTTAAGAAAATAAGTCATTTATAAATTTGTGAGGACTGTTTGTCAGGTTTGATTTTTCTTATTTGTGTGTTTATGTCATTTTTCTATCATTTTAGAATCTCTGCTGGTAACACTTTAAATACCTGTTTGTTGATTTTGTTGTTGAAATAATAAAAAAATATCTTAAACAAGGTTAATAGATAGAGGTAGATCAGTAAAAACATCTACATAATGATCTGAGTTTGAGTTTTTATTCATTTTCAAATACTTGCCAATATGATCTCATTCCAGTTTGTACCTACAGTAAGTTGAAGGAAAGTAAGTACCTTAGTGAAGAAGGGAATACTGGCATTCATGAACAACATGAAATGCACGGTGTTAAATAAAGGAGAGACAGTCAGTAGGCAAGTTCAAAACGTTTATTAAATGAAGAACAAAACTAAGAGGGGAGCCCTTCACAAATATATTTTTGTATGGCTTTCATTTACCAAATTTACTCAAATTCTATTATGTAAATAAATTCTAAGCATGGGGTTTACACCTTACACACTTTAGTAACTTAAAAGCACCACATGTCTATATATGTTGTGAAACACCATGTAAAGTCTTAAAAACGTCTGAGTTAAACATACGGTAGCAGTTAAAGATCTTGGCTATTTAAGTTAATAATCTTATATCAACCAGCTGCTTGCTTTTTGTTTACCGGTGAGCAACAGTATCATTAGCAGATCATCTGACATGTTAAAAAGAAAAAAAAAAAACTTTCAAAAAGCAAAACACCGAATGTAGAACCTTAAGTTACAACAGCACAGAACTTTTATTCATTAACAGCCAACTTACTTTTATAAACATATTTATATATATTTATATATTTATAAATGTAATACTACATTTTTAATCTTTTACCAATTCATCCCAGAGAGAATAAGTAAAAATGTAAATAAATCAAACACAAGAAAATACAATTTTGTGTCTAAACAAATTGCTAAAATCCATTAAAATCAAACCAGCCAGACACAATAGTTTGGATACCTCGTTCAAATGGTAAAATATTAGTGTTGATTTTTGTGATGGCTTTTGGATAATATGAGGAAATTCTGCTGTGTGTGGCATGTTTGTGATCTAGTCTGCTCATAATGAAGTTGGGACAGCTCAAACCTCAAATCCAACAGGTTGGATTATTTCTCTGAGTGTAGTGTTTCGCCAACAGGCAGGGATGTAAAACTTTTAATGTGACATGCAGCCAATCAGAAAGCACCACCTGAGGAAATCGCCTTTTCTTAATCTTTTTTTCTCCAAAAACTAGTCTACAAAGCATCTTCACTACTTGTCCATTGTTGAGCATATTTGTTCTGTCTGATCTTATGTCTGATCATAGGATTTTTTTTTTCGGTTTTACCATCTAACATCTGAATTTTCCTGAAAGAAACCATTTCATGTGTGGTGTTTTGTGCTTAATGTGTGATGGTCTCAAAAGTTTTGAAAATCCCCCAAATATTTTCAGATCTACATTGTGAACCACTCATAAGGGCTTGAGCATAAGGCAACTTAACTCTATTTCTTGTTAAAGGCGTTTTACATCTTATTCAAAGGACCTATTTAGTTCTGAAAAATCAAAGAGGAACTTCTTAAGAAATTGAGAAATCAATCCAACCATGTTCTACTCTAGCTCTGGTAAAGCAGTCATAAATTTGGTTTTGATGTAAAAAAAGATTTAAAAAAATCAAAAGATTACCAATAATACAAAGTATTAAATAAACACTTGTCTTCTAATCTATAAAACCTAAACTTTTCAAACACAATAATTCTTTTTCATCATGAATTTCCTCTTTGAGGCGATACATTAAATGTCTTAAATCTCTGGCTATATCACATTGTATTCTTGACTGCTTGTTACCAATTATTTTCAGCTGCAACATGATTAATATTTACGAAACATAGTAAACATGACTTTGAAAAGATGTTCTGAGAACCTTTCTTAGTCTTTAACTCAGGTTGCTGTGGAAGCTGCTTCTTCCTCTGAGGGTCTTGTCTCAATGTTGCTGACCGTGTTCACAGCCTGAATCACATGCACCCTGTTCTCCTCCCTGTTCTTCCTTGAGCAGCTGAAAACCTTCTGAAAACCTTTGCGGAAATGCTTGGAGACGAGTGCGTAGACAATGGGATTGAGGCAGGAGTTGGCGTATGCTACCAAGTGGGATAAGATGCGTAAGGCGTAGGTTGTGTGGTTGAGCTTGAAATGTCCAAACCACATACAGAGGATTATGAGGTGATGAGGAAGCCAGCAGAGACAGAAGAGCGCAGCCACGATCAAGATCATTTTGGTGACTTTCCGCTTGGATCGTCTTGTTTCTGACTTGTCCTTGACGGGATCCACACTGGTCCATAGGTAGCGGATAGTGCGTGCATATGTGAGGCAGAGCACAAGGACAGGAAGGAGGTATCCAAAGATGAAGGTGCACAGATCCATTATAAAGCGAGGTCTGGGCTCCCAGGTAGGAATACAAAGCATGGTGCCATCAAGGTCCATCTGAGAGAAGTAGCTGAGGTACGGTGTAGAAAAAACCAAAGCCAAAGACCAAAGCAGGCAGATAGAAATGAGGGCATTCTTTGGAGTTCTCATCTGCCTGGAACGAAGCGGGTAACATATGGCTAAATACCTGTAGAAACAGATTGAAAACTGTTGAATAAAGGAACGATTAGAGGTTATTTTGTTTGTGGTGCTCTGAGAAAATATTGAGCCTGGTGGTCAAAAAGAAAACCAAATGTCATTAAAAACAGACCTTGTTTTAGCTGTTGTAACCAGACCAGATATAGAGACAATGCTTTTTCCCCAATGACCAATGACCTCAGTATTAAAATGGCACAATAATTTTTTTCAAAGTGAATTGTGACCTAGAGTGAGCCACATTGTTAGAAGGGAGCATGAAGGAATGAGAGATTACTGTTGGTTGGGATTCCAATGCTGTTTTAGAGATGACAATGTTCTTCGAAAACTTGGATTTGGAAAGTTGATTTACATGGTCAAACTTTCCAATAAAAATAAGAATCAGTATTTTTTTTTTATCAACACACTCTGGTGTCATAAATTGCTCAAACATTTTTTATACTACCAGTGGTTTTCGAACATTATTCAATTCAGGCTGGTTGATAATTTTGCTTATGAGAGAAAATATGAGCTTAAATTTTTAGAAAAGGCTGAAATTACCACGCTATTACTGTAGGTCCCAAAATGTACAGGCTGAACAAAGAGTAAAAGACTTTCACAGCAAAAACTCCCCAGTATAAAAACAACAAATTCTGATTTTGGAATCCAATTAAAGAAGGATTTAACTTGACAGGCTAAAACAAATTAGTGACATTTTGGGGTCAAACAAATGCTCTTCAAATACCAGGTTATAAATGATAAATCACTACAAGAGATTGTTTTAAACTGCTAAATAGCCAATTTTACCAATAAACTTTTTTTTTTCTTGTTACTTCCAAAATAGATTTTATTTCAAATTCTATCAGTTAATTCACAATAAATTTATCAGATTAAGTAATCAATTTAATACAAACATACAAATATATTTTTGTATTGATTTTCTTCAAAATAAAGAAAGTGTCAATATCTAATGGAGTAAATAATTGCTTAATTTGATCAAACTGCAAAGATAGAAGAAAATGTGATAAAAATGGACAATGTTGAGATTTCAAAATAAAGTTCAGTGATAGTATTCCTGATAAAACCTTTATTTTTAAAGGGGAGTCTGTTGCTATAGGTTCCTCATTAATAGTGGAATTATAAAAGAAATGATGATGATCTATAAAAACAAATCTTAAATATATTCTTAAAAATAAAGCCTTACAATCACAGTATTATTTAGAGAGGGAGGTTTTATCTTAATATTGCCTATATAAAGAAGTAATTAAAAAGGGATATAGCTTTTAAAAATAAACTTTTAAACTCTCATAAAAAATAAAACCCTTAAGTGAAGATGTTGTAAGTAAGACACATTCCCCATTATTCTCAAACACTTAAAAAGAAGGAATAAGGAAATAATGTTCTGCCTTCAAAATAAGGGACACAGATTATCTGTGTTTTGTTTTTCCAGGGGCAAAAGCAGAGATGTTTTAAAACTCCACATGTTTGAAAAGAACAAGGCTTCTAAGGGTATCACAGAACATCAATCCAGATCAAAAGGATTAAATTTGAAATTATCCTACTACATTGATTCAAAATAAAAATGCAGACATTAGTGAGCATGTGATCTATTATTACTGTTGTTACTATTATTATATTGCCCGAGAAGCACCCCACGGTCTTTGCTCAGACACCCTGAGTGGCAGTCTGTGGGAGTGGGGCTTGAACTCAGACCCTCAGGATTCCAAGCTCCATGCCCTAACCACCAGAGGCGTAGCCAGAACATTTTTATAAGGGTGGCCAGGCAATAACTAATGTACACTAAGGGGCAACCAAAGGTAGATAGGCAGCAAAACTTCATGGTCGGTCTACACTGCTCCAACAGGAACATTATTGAGCAAAACATCCATATTTTCTAAATAAAGACAAGCGATACTTTCCTACAGCCTTTGGTAAAAAATAGGTGAATATATTCAAACATCCGTGCTTTCTAGATAAAAGGTATAGTGGATAAAACTCTTTCAGGTTTGAGTTTGGGGCGAATCTTGGGCGATCTTTTCCATTCTCATTATTTACCCACTTTTATCAGTAATCATTCTGCATACAATTGATATTTATAAGTACTAATATCTACATAAATTGATAGTTATATATGTTTTTATTAAAATAGATAATAGTATCTATGAAATCACTGAAGACTCCTAGATGACTTGCAGAGGCATCCTTTTTCCTTTACCCCATAAAACACAAAATCTATTTCTGCTTTATTTCTACACTTATTTTAATGTTACTATATTGATGTGCATAATTACCCACAGTTTTTTTGTTCTCAAGTAAATGTTAATATATGAAAAATTAAAATGTTTTGAATATTCCACTTAAGAGGATTACTGTTGCCACTGTCTGTATTAGAGGGAAATAAATGGTAGGGGTGGCCATAGGGGTGGCCAATGATTGGCTAAGGGTGGCCATGGCCCCCCCCTTCTAACCACTAGGCCGCCACTCACCCCATTATATATTACTAGAAAATTAGAATAATCTTTCTTTAAATTTAAATGCATAATGCCTAGAATAAATACAACGGTTAAATCACTTTTTAGAGGTTTTTGTGAGTTAATAATGATGTAAATTATGTTAGAAGGGCAGATGATACTGATCGCAAATTTGTAAATTAAACTGAATTAAAATGCTATTTTGACATACCATGTGATATTACCAAACATCATCATCTGCAAAGGGATGTCCTAGACTCTAGGACCTAGAGTACAATTGCGTAGGGGGCCTCTAAGAGATGGAGGCCCTAAGCAACTGCAGTCTCTGTTTACGGATATTTATGCCATTGGATAGCTGGACAAGACACACCTATAATTCTTTAGTATTTTGTATTAATTAACTCTAATGTTAATAAGTTTATCATTAGCGATGAGAAAACATATTTTATTCTTAAAGAGGGGGTTCCTCTGATTTATCACTTCTCAAACTCAGCTGACTCTCCTGGAGTTTGAACATTTTCCTCCTTGATTGCAGCTTTCAGGCAGTGACTGAGGGTATTTGATACTTTATGCTGGGCTGAAAATCGGTACATATTGATCCTGAAGGTTTAAATGTGGCAATAAAAAAACATTTTTATTGATATTTCCTCCAACTTAACAGATTTATTCAACTTCACACCATTAATGACACACGCACATTTAGTTTTTTTTTATTATTATTTACTGTGGAATTGTCTAAGTTTTGTTGAAAATCCCTGCTTCTAAAACTTACTCATTTAAGTTCACATTTACAAGATAATCTATAAAATGCTCATAAGGTTTGCAGAGTTGCGCACCTGTCCAGGGAAACGGCAGTCAGTGTGAAGATGCTGGCGTACATGGTGAGAAAGATGAAGAAGTGCACGGCTCTGCAGAGCACCGGACCGAACATCCACTGATCCAGGGTGTAAATGGTGGCTTGAAACGGCACGCAGAATACAATGAAGCAGAGATCAGCCACCCCAAGGCTGAAGATGAACATGTTGGTGGTCTTGGTGCTCATCTGGCCATTGCGACACAGAACTGCGAGGACCAGAGAGTTCCCCGTGATGCCGAGTAGAAAGATGAGGGAAAAACTCACGGAAATCAATACGGACTCCGCTTTCCACTCAGAAGAGTTTGTGCAGGACAGATTCATATTTCTCTTTGGCTTTGGGTCAGTTGGTTTGATGTGCGCGCACGGGCATTAATGCGCAGCTCTCATCGCTCATTACGCACTGCACCCAGACCACAGGTCCAGATGGATTTAGCTGAATAACACCATATGCCACAGAGAGAGAGAATCCCAGCATCTGATGATCCCAGACTCAAGCTGCCTAAACATTTGTAACATAAACTGAGGTATATTCAAACAATTCCCAAACTGTTCTGATGGGTTTTGCGCGTTAGAAGTTATGTGTTTGGCTTCAAAATGCAAACATGTCCAAAATAACACCCAGAAAGACAAAGCAATATACAAACTATTACTAATGTTGGTTAATTATGTTTGTCGAATAAATTGCCAACAAAGAGTGGTTTTGAAGCAGCAAAAATGAGGATTAATTGGCTTAAAAACTAAAACAGCATAAGTCTGTCACCCTGTGGACATACTGCATCATTACAAAGGCAATAGAAAACCATTTTGTGACGTATTTAACCCTAAAATTTTGTATACTTCAAACTTCATGAGGTATACATAGGCTACATACTGTACTCCCTCCACATTAAATAAGAAAGTTAAATCGTTATTATTCACAAGGGGGTTATAAGATGCCTGAGGATTTCTAGTCATGTCTATATAGGGAGACTGTATAGTTACAGCTGGGATCATATGGAAATAGCTTTGAAAAGTGCCTTTTTTAGTACAAAAAATGCTTCAGATCATCAAAACATGTAACAAAATTAATTAAAATAAATTCAGAAAGTTTCTGTTAAACCACAATATAATATATGACTTGGTATAGGTAATCCACCTATGTTATAAAAAAATACATTGATAGACCTCGTTTAAAAGAGAAGTTTTTAAATCCATTTGCAGGAAAGCAGAATTCACTTTCATCAAACAAAGTAGGTATAATAGCTAACAGAATCAAGACATCACTGAAAATAAAATTGTGCTCTAATCTGATTATACTCAATAATAGATAAAAAAAAAAAAGTTTGTAACTTTGTATCGTCCACCAGGTTCTATTTGAAATACAAGTGTCAAATACTGACATGGTCATTATAGGGGTGGATCTTATTCACGCTGACAGTGAAGGTAATAGTTTAAAAGACTGATTAAACTAAGCCAATGATTGGCTTAGTTCAAAATGTGAAAAGTCCCACACATTCTTATCTTCATACTTTGATCTTGTGCTGATATATGGTATTGAATGTGAAGAAATATTTCTTCACAACCATGTCCTTTCTCACCACAGTTTAGAACCCTCCAAAGTTACTTTAACACAGTTCTCCTCCCCAAAAAGAAGGGTTCACTTTAGCAGATTATTAGATAATGGAGCTATACATTTTAAGGAATCTGTTCTGTTTGTTTTTATGTTGTCTGTATCACTGATCAATAATTCAGAGGGCAACTGTTTAATTTACAGTATGTCCACTCACAAACTGATAATTTTGTTGAGGGGTCTGCTAGTTCCATGTATACTAGACAATGTAGCCACTTAGAAAAAGAAAAACTTTAAAAATAGAAAGCTGGCTCCCTGGTTTAATGTAGAGCTGAGCACTTTGAAGCAGTGGCATGGGAAGGGGGGTGCTGTGGGGGCTGCAGCCTCCCTCGTCATAGCATCAGCCCCCCATGGTGGGGGGCTGTGGGGTAACATAATATTGTACTTAAAAACATGAAATTATTTATGTATTTATTTTTTAAAAGACTGTGTTTGATATGGGATTAAAATGATGGGCTGTGTATAAGATATAAACTAATGATTCATTATTTTAATATTTCATAAAAAACTAGGCTACTCCCCCTGAAGTGCATCCGCCACCTTACATTCGTTTAGGCATGGGTAGCAATAGGCAGCAGAAACGTATTTCTGACTATTTTGAGGTGAGAAATGGTTTTAATTCACCTATACGCTAGAATAAGGCTGCATATCACTAAATATTATGTCTGTATTAAGTGATAAAATATGAAATTATTATTTTTTTTTGTGTGTGTTTTTTGTTTCAGATATGAAATCATTCCCCATATCCATAGTCGAATGGACTTTCAAGATGTTCAATGCTCAGTTTAGGCTATATTTAGGCCATGTTTCATTCAAGTATTCCTGTTCCTGTTGATTGCAAGCTGTTGTTTGACACATGTCATCTCAAAGCACTTTACAGTTCAACCAGATCATCCAGTCAAATTGATACAAAGTTTTCTATCTAAGTAAACCAGTTAATTGCACCGACTCATTGACTCAAATACAATCCCTCACACTAAGCATGCTTGTAGCGACAGTGGAGAGGAAAAACTCCCTTTTAACAGGAAGAAACCTCCAGCAGAACCAGGCTCAGTGTGAGCGGCCATCTGCTGAGGCCCACTGGGATTCAAGGAGACGGAAGCAGAGACATAAAAAGCAGCTGTAAAAGGCGGCCCCATCCAGGAAACACACAGCCAGGCAGACGATCAATTTTGAATGATTAAAAGAGAAGATATAAAGTTTAAAATGTTCATGCTTTGTTCCGATGCATTTTAAATGGCAGTTTTTGGCGACAAATGTAGGCCTACAATATTATGTTAAAAAAGTCAGCCACAGCCCTCAACATAATGACGTCATGTGTTTTCCAACCCAGCCAGCCCCCCTCGCTTGAAACAGCTTCCAGCACGCCTGCTTTGAAGCAACATGCTTGAAAACTGGAGAGAAAATAGCGCTCTTCATGTCTACAGGAATCCTACCAAGTCTGGAAAAAACAGTACACTGCTGTATAAAATGTCCCTTCTTTAAACTTGAGCAGCATATTTTTCTTTGTTGATAGAGGAAAATGAGAATAACACTAGAATTCTTTTTAATACAGTTGCCAAACTCCCTCATAACCATAGCTCTGTTGAACCATCCATCCCACCTACTCTCAGCTCTAATGATTTTGTGGACTTTTTTGTAAATATGCTTACTCTATTAAAAATAAGATCAGTGGCTACCCTCTAAATATGATTGGTTTATCTCTGAAAGGTGAGGCAGCATCTGAGATAGCAATAGAATCTGAACCGGGTTTAGACTGCTTTGATCCAGTTGAAGTTTCAGAGTTAGCAAAACTATTGTCTTCATCTAAGCCTTCAACTTGTATGTTAGAGCCAGTTCCAACAAGGTTATTTAATAAGGTATTCTCTCTGATTTTCTCCTCCATTTTAGATGTGATTAGTGTGTCCCTGTTACAAGGATATGTACCTCAGACTTTTAAGGAAGCTGCAATTAAACCTTTATTTAAAGGAAAGCTCTACTCAGCAAGGAATAATCAATAAATCATTATCTATATCTAAAACTAATACCTTCACTGTGATTTAATAAATTTAGAGTTAATCAGTAAAAAAATTAAAATAATAATTTTTGTTGCGATCACTGAGTCTGAGACCGGCCATTTTTGCCCAAATATAGTAACACCTCACTCCTGACATCTTCTGGCAGTGACATCACGGTAAGGTAAGCCTAGCGTCATTCTCCCCGCACACAATCAGCAACAATTAAGATTTTGAAAGGACTTTACTATTGAAATTTGCGAGACATATAGTTAAACTACCCACGATCATGACATTTGGATGTTGTAATACGTCGGGTAAAAGTGGAAAAAAAACTAACAAAAACTACTTACTTCACCTTTCCGATTCATGATCCTCCAAGGACGGGTTCGGCGTTTTATTAGTAATTTGAAGAGGCAGGATTTGCAATCGAACTTCTGGCCAGAGAAAAAACCCTTAATATGTAGCCATCATTTCGAAGACGAATGTTTTCCAGATGGCTTGGATAATAGCGCGTTGTCACAAACACCATATAGAGCATTGGGACTTGCTGAACAGCTGATACTGCACCGTGACATCACAAACCGGTAGGTGGCAGTAGTGTTCTTTGATAAACATGGATGTCTCCGGTAAAGCAGATTCAAATGAAATTACCCTTGATTTAAAAAACTTATCATTTATTGCGACCACTTGCACCATAATGAAGTTTTTGAAGAGTTTCAGTGTGGCTTTAGCGCTCATAATAGCACTGAAACAGCTCTGGTGAAAGTCTCTAATGATGTTCTCATGCCTTCAGATAGTGGACTTGTATCCATACTTTTATTGTTAGATGTTAGGGCGACATTTGGTACAGTTGATCATTTCATTCTTTTTAGAAAGGAAATAAGGGAACAGGCTGGTTTAAATCTGGATGACTCATTCTGACTGCTTCTGAATGCAGACAAAACGATTATTGTCTTTGGATCTGTCATTTAAATCCCCTATCAAAAGGTTTCTAGAATTTCCTTTCTTTCATTTGCAATTAGTAATATCCTGTCCAGAGGTAATGCTGAGAAATTAGTTCATGCATTTGTTGCTACAAGGCTGGACTATTGTAATTGTTTACTATAAGGAAGTCCACCAACTGTAGTTAAAAGCCCTCAGCTGATCCAAAATGCTGCAGCCAGAGTTCTGATGAATATTAGAACTCTTATATCAGCGATATGATTGTTCTTTATGTTCCCAAAAGAGCACTTCGCTCTCAATGTGCAGATTTACTTGTGGTTCCTACAGTTTCTTAAAGTAGAATGGGAGGCAGATCTTTTAGTTATCAGGCTCCTCTCCTAAGGAACCAACCACCAGTTTTAAGCTATGAGGCTGTCATGGTGTCTGTGTGTGGCTGAGACTACAGGTTTCCAATCAGATCTCCAATTGGAGGGCGTGCCAACCCGACAGGTGATCCACCTGTTTCTCATCTGGTGCAGCTCTTATAAGGAGCAGCTGGACTACCCTTCACCGCCTGATTGTCCGACTAAGTTGGCTCCGCTGTCACTCCGTCTGCCTGCCCGCTCTCCACCGTTTGATCTCCAGCCCACCTTTGCAATCCACAAGCCCCCTCCGGGATCAGCTCATCTTCTGAAACAAAGCAGCTGAAAGCAGCTGATCAGCCTGAACCCATCTTGGATTCTGTTTTCAGTACAATAAAGAGATTGATCCTTTGAATCCTGCTTGTGGTTTCCTGCATGTGGGTCAGAAAGATCCCCTCGATCATGACAGAACAATCAGGCCAGTTTGACCCAGCAGAACCACGAG